CGAAATGACATCTTTCTCTTCTGTCTTATATAATTATTAGTTATTAACCCTACAAAACAAAAACAAACCCCAAAGTCAATAGGTACATGAGAATGGCTGTCTATTCAGGTAGAAACAAGATGGGTATACAACATTTTCTGCCAGAAACTCTACTGAATTAACAGTAGCAGCCATGATAAAATATTTCCAAATAACCTAGAAAAACACATAGCCTTATATATAAGGCTATATACACATAGCTTTATATACATTATATACCACTAAATAGAAGGCAAAAGTTCTACCAAAAGTAATACACTTGGTAACAACTAGGGAAACATATTCCAAATGAATCTGTAGTTCAAAAACTAGGTTAGGGCCTCCCAGGTGGCGCAGTGGTTGAGCGCTGGGTTGCGAAGCTGCCTGCAGCCTCTGCAGAGCCAGTTCGATCCCCGGCTGCCCCCCGGGGCCACCGGAGGAGGGTCCCACATGGCGCGCAGACCTCTCCTGCCGCCCGCTGCTCCCCTCAGCAGTGTACTTCGGTCCTTCTGCCTGCTCTGCTCCCCACTCTGGCTCTGGTGAATTCTCTCACCCTCCCGCGCTTCTCACTGTACCCAGTGCTTGTATAAACAAATAAATAAATAAATAAATCTTAAAACAAAAACAAAAACAAAACATCTTTAAAAACAAAAAACAAAAACTAGTTTAGACATGATCTTGGTTGTCAATGATCAAGTAATCTGAGGTCAGGTTTATCAGTACAAAACATATAGCGCATTCATCTTTTACAGGAATTAAAGAACAGGGTATAGTGTCCAAATTCATTTAAAATTATAGCAGAGAAAGATAATTACAAAAATCCACAGGGCCTCCCTGGTGGCACAAGGGGTTAAGCACAGCACTATGAAGCACAAGTTCGATCCCCTGCTGGCCAGGGAGCTACCCACATAGTGCAGCAGACCTCTCCTGTCTTGCCCCCTGCTCCCCTCAGCAGTGTATTTCAGTCAGTCTGCCTGTTCTGTTCCCCACTCTGTCTCTGGTGAATCCTCTCACCGCCTGCACCTCTGGCCTGTACCCCAGCTCTTGTATGCATAAATAAGTAAATCTTTAAAAAAAAATCCACAATCCCAATTTTATTATCAAAAGTTTTGAATGCTATTCTCAAAAATCCTGTTGGTTAATTACCCATCTCTTAAGAAAGTGATGTCTAATACTGATACTACCTGTGCATTGTGCTCCCCAGCTCATTTGGTGCTTTCCCTTTTTCAAAACAAATAATTGAATGGAAACACACTGCAGGTGGATTAAACTAAACAGTTAGATTTCTGTAACAGTCTCTTGTAATGTTTCCTTAAAAACAGATTTTCTGCAACTAGTATATTGTAAGCACACATTTGAGGTCTTTACCTTCTTCAACTTCACCATTTCCCATGAGAATAACTGCACATGTACATAAGGTTATTAATTTTACAGATATAACATTTCTAAAACCAAAGTAAATATAATTTCATATTAAGTGTGAATATCAGGCATTTGATTTCTTAAGGTCTTTAAAAAGAGAACTATACAGAAGGGCTGTTTAAAAAACTGGGGAGGGGCCTCCCCGGTGGCGCAGCGGTTGAGCGCTGGGTTGCGAAGCTGCCTGCAACCTCTGCAGCCGGTTCGATCCCCGGCTGCTCCCCGGCCACCGGAGGAGGGTCCCACGTGGCGCGCAGACCTCTCCTGCCGCCCGCTGCTCCCCTCAGCAGTGTCCTTCGGTCCTTCTGCCTGCTCTGCTCCCCGCTCTGGCTCTGGTGAATTCTCTCACCCTCCCGCGCTTCTGACTGTACCCAGTGCATGTATAAACCAAACAAACAAACAAATAATAAATAAATAAATAAGACATGCCTCTAGAAAATTAAAAAAAATAAAATAAAATAAAAAACTGGGGAACTACAAGCCAGATTACAAATTTGGGTGAAAATAATTCATCTTGCATAATACAAGCTAATATTAAAATACTCTTTCCCCTGCTCTCTCATTTCTTTCTAGAGCAATACATACACAAATATATATATTCTTCCAATCTGAAAAATATGCATCGGTATGTACCCTGAGCCATGTGCCTCTAGCACACTGTGGATTAAGCATAACCTACAGAAGTTGGAAGGCTGGGCGCTGCTCAGGCAAATCTCTAACATCTTCCTGCTGGAGCCCACTTCCATCAAGACTAGAGAAAACTTACCTGATTCCGGTAAACCTCAGATAGCTAATAGTACATGGAACAGTGTTTTAGTTCAACTTCCAGTAATAGTTAATTATAGGTGTTATGTGGATCAAAAGGCTTATGTATTTGTGCTATTCCAGTTGCTAAACACAAGAAAAACAATCCCAGCAGGTTTTTGATATACTTGGGATGTGTAATAGTGGTTATATTTTTGTAAAAGTGTACAACTGTGTATAACTTGATCAACAATATTTATGAAAATTAGTTTTTTAAAAAGGGTTCAACTGTATGTGAAGGACAGAATTAGAATTTTAGTGGCAAATTTAATGCAATATATACATACGGTGATCTTTAATAATGCACACCTGAAACATAATGTTACAATGCAGTGTTATTTCAATTTAAAAAAAAGAAAAACAAGAAAATTACTGTTTTTATTTAGAAATTATTAAAATTTTTCACATTTCCAAATCACTCACAATAGGGGAGGCATACCCAAAAAGAAGTATGGGTAAAGAAGTCTAAGGGAAAAAGAAGACTTTAAAAATTTGTTAGCTATCTGCATTTGTACCCACGTTCTCAACAGCTGTGCTCACCTTTTCTGCTTTCCCTCCTTACATGTACCCCCATGAGAGTATTCCACTGATGCTCTGTCACCCATCCTAAAATTGTTTCTTTGGTGCAACATCAGAAAACTTTCCCTCTCTGCTTGATCACATCCATCAACATATTATGATGCTCTGGCATCTTTCAGTTAATTAACAAAAAAAAGACACTATTGCCCTCTCCAGGTGGACCTGACCCACAGACCCACTTCTCTATTCCCCCTCTCGCTAAAAGGTTGAAAGGAAAGATTAAATAAATAAATAAGTGCTCGAAAGGCTTTAAGGTCTTTAGTTACACTGCCCCTCCTCCTGTTCTCTTTAGTTTCCTCCAACTAGACTTGAGTCCCTACTGTTCCACTCAAACTGGTCTTGTCAAGATCACCAAGCATCAAGGTCATCTTTCTGTCTCCTCTTACCCATCCCCTGAGAGGCCATCAGGAAAACTTTACACTCCTCCTCGATTACAAAATTCTCTAATTTATTTGTTGTTTTTTTTTTAACTTGTCTTCCCTGACAAGAATGTCAGCTCTATGGTTCCTATATGAAGTCAATTGAGACTATTGAAATTGTTCATGGATGTATCCTCACCATCTAAAATGTCTGGTAAAAAGCAGGCATGTGATATTTGTTAGATGATCTTGTTTATCTAAGAACAATATAAGTTCCTAATCGGAAAGGGAACGCAATCTTTGATGGTAATCAGGAAAAATTCCAACATAAGGTAAGACGCAGATTCCAAAAGAGATGGTTCTCAAATAGAACCTAACAGCCTTTCTCCAACATATCTTTAGACCTCAAATACTAAAGAGTCTCTACAGCAACTGCCACCTGTGAAGGGCATCTAAAGAGGGATAAGACAGGGACATGTCTATTTCTACATACAACAGAATGTCTGTCTGGTCTCTGACAGGCTGAAAGGTGGAGAGGCACTCAAGATATACATCCACTTCTCCAACGTCCTCATCTGGTTTGCTGCGCTTGGCGTTCTGGAGTTAAGGGAGCTTCCCCTAAACCCCATACCCAACTGCACCACCCCTGAGTTCTCACATCTCTCAGGCCTCCCTATCCCAGAGTTAATCCAGCTGTCATTACAGTTCTGAGGTGTGGTTGTCCTGACATACCCTAGGCATTAGGTAGGCAAGGGCCTAGTGTTGGTTACACTAGTGGGTCGAGTATGGCGACCCACTGTCTGGCACAAAGAAAGGTGCTGAGGAAGTTCGCTGGCTACATGAACAAGGGGCAGCAGCCACACACCACTCTGCCCTGCAATCTAACCATCTGTGACCCTGCCATGCAACAAGGCACACATGCCCGGGAGCCAGCTGGGACCCACAGGCCAGGGTGCTCAGAAGGGCTTCCTCCGAAACGCGGGCAGCTGACCTCGCTTGAGCGACGTCGAGACTGAGACAACCCTTGGCCGATCTCTAACGGAGGGGCCGGGCCTAGGTCCGTGAGGGAGCCAGCGAAGGCGGCGCGCACGCTGAGGGACAACTCCAGACTCCCGCGGCGGGCGCTCTCTCCACCCTGCGAGCGGCCGTCGAACACCGAGTCGCCTCTCCGAGAGGATTCCCTTTCTCTCGCGGGTAGGACCTGGGGAAGTCCCCTCTAAATTCTAGGGGTAGCGTGACGCTCCGCGGGCGCCCCCCGAGCCGAGAGAGACCCCGAGACAGGATTCGGGCGGCATCCCTGGGACCGCGCCCGCGGAAGCCCTTACCTGCCGCCGGAGCGGGAGAAGGAGGAGCCGCCGCCCGCGCCGCGGCCCGCCCCGCCAGCTCAGCGCCTGCGCCGCAGGCCCCGGGCCCGGCCGCCGCGGCCTCGCCGCGTCTCCCGCCCGGCACAGCTCGCCCGCTCGCTCAGCGCCGGCTTGCAGCCCCGCAGCCCCCGCCGCCTCGCCCCGCAGCCTTCCCGCCGCTCCGCCCGCGGGAGTGTCGCGCCGAGCAGGCGCCGCGGGCAGCCCCGGAGCCGGGGGCCTTAGTGAGAAGAGCCCGTCGTCATGGAGACGTGCAGCACAACCACGGCAGTCAGGCCGCCGAGGCTCGGGTCAAGACAGAGTGGGGGGCCCGGGCCGCAGCTCCCGGCACCCAGCAGCGCCGACGGCGAACCCTTCAAGGGCGCGCGGTGGCTCGGCTCGGCCGCCACCGTTGCCACGTCAGCCCTCGCGGGCGGCGCGCCGGGGCACAGCCAGCTCCGACAGTCCGCGTCGCCTAGGGATGGCGCGGGGCGGGGCCTGGGGCCGTGCGGGCCGCCCCCAAACATCCGCTTCCGGGGCCGCGGCCGTCGCGCTTACGGCGTCTGTGGACCCGCCGGGCTGTACGCACTGCCAGACCCGGGCACCCGCGGCCCCTGAGTTGCAACCCCTCTCGCCCTGCTGCCCGCCGCCGGCGCTCTGCTGCCCGCCCTCCCAGCCAGCCATGCTGGAGCATCTGAGCTCGCTGCCCACGCAGATGGTAAGGGCTCTGTCCATTTGCCACTTGCTGGCCTCACGTCTTCTTGGCCCTTGTCGGAACGCCGACCGGTGCGGCGCGGTTCCGGACCCTCCCTGCTGCTGCCTTACACTCTCTTCCCTTAATTGCGCCTCCTTGGGCGCCCGCTTATCCGTCCTCTGCGAGAATCCATCCCCTTCCCCTTGCTGCATTCGGGTGCTTCAGACCCAGAAACCTAGAATAGCATTCCTTGATCAGGTCTTTACGGGAGTCCCTGGTTGGGGGCTGCTCCGTGATCGGCGAGGCCAGGACAGTAATTGTACTGTCGGGTGGTGAGTACAGCGCCAACTCTTGCATTGCTCTCCTTCACCTCTAGGATTACAAGGGCCAGAAGCTAGCGGAACAGATGTTTCAGGGAATTATTCTTTTTTCTGCAGTAAGTATTGGTTTTACACAATCTAGCCCCCTACACACACACTTTTACCCCTCTTCCCCAGCTTGACTGTATTTAATATATTTTGTCTCCAGATAGTTGGATTTATCTACGGGTACGTGGCTGAACAGTTCGGGTGGACTGTCTATATAGTTATGGCCGGATTTGCTTTTTCGTGTTTGGTAAGAAATTTGTGAGCGTTTGAATGTTAGTGGCAGCTACGGTTTTCTCCTCCGGGTTAGTTTGGTTGGAACTAGTAGTGAGAGCCAGCACTAACTTTTCCTTCATCCCGTCCCATCATTATTTCCCCTTCCTGTCATCGGAAACCTACTATGCCAAATAGCATCAAATTACAACCCTGTTGTGGTTACAGCTCATTTCTTATTGTAGCAGCTCCAAATAATAATCTTAAAGCCAAAGCAAGTAGAAATTTCTTGTGGTTTTTACACTGCTGCCTCCTCATCTCCCCTTTAGCTCTTAAAGTCGTAAGTGTAAACATGAGGCCTCTTTCTATGAGTATTTTGTCTGGGCCACTACACAGAGTTTTCACAGGATTTTTTTTTCCCCTTTAGTATATAGGAATAACTTGGGAATCAGGCATTATACGTGATGGTCTTTTAAATCCTGAGTGGCTATAACTGATGCACTTTTTCCATTCTAACCCAGCTGACACTTCCTCCATGGCCAATTTATCGCCGGCACCCACTCCAGTGGCTACCTGTTCAAGACTCAGGCACAGAAGACAAGAAATCAGGGGAAAGAAAAGTTAAGAGGCATGCTAAAAATAATTGATTGGGGTTTTCATGATTCAGTTTTACTGTTGCACCTGCTTTTGTTTCATGTGAAATGAACTAAATTGTTTTCATACCCAAAACATAAGCCGAAAACCGCCTATGCTCTTATGACACAGCCGTGTATAGAATTTGTTCTCCTTGTTTTTCACTTCTCAGTTGGGTTTTGATTTATATGTATTTCAAACTGTCTTTTCATAATCTTCCTCTGCAATAGAGAACAGAAAACACAAGTATGCAAAACTGCTTTCAGGTCTACAAAAATAATAAATCCCTCATAATGGTAATACAATGTGACTATCAAAGTTTTTTAATTCATTGAACGTTAAGCTGTTTTAATGTTTTCAATTAAAACTCAGTACAAGTCTGTATCTAAAGAGTTTTTTGTTCAAAACTAATAGTGAAGGCCAAATTTAGAAGTTTGTGGTTCTGAAAATGTCAGTAAGCACTATTTCTCTTTTGTGTAGGTGCCAATTTTGAATGTCTTAATAATAGCAAGTACCTTTGAAAAAATTTATTAATGTACATGTGTGGTAAAGTAAAATTTACCTGAGGTAGACCAAGGTGAAAACTTACAAAGCTATAAATTCATTTTAAATTTTCCAGAGGATTTAAGGGAAATGTTCCAATGGTCTCGTATGAGTTATGGGAGTTGGAGGTTATTATAAGTAATATTCTATTTCTCAATACCAGGATTCAAACTTGCAAACTAGGAGTTTAAAAAAGGGAACAAATAATATAGCACAAGTCAGAAAAAGAAAAATTAAGAAGGCAGAGTTAAGACTAAGCATGGCAGCTAAGTATAATAAATGTGATTTAAAAGCTAAGAGCAGGCCTCCCTGGTGGCGCAAGGGGTTAAGCACGGCACTGTGAAGCTATCCACAGGCTTTGTAGCACCAGTTTGATCCCTGGCCAGCCAGGGAGCTACCCACATGGCACAGCAGACCTCTCCTGTTTTGCTCGCTGCTTTCCTCAGTAGTGTATTTCAGTCAGTCTGCCTGATATGTTCCCCACTCTGTCTCTGGTGAATCCTCTTACCCCCCGAAACCGCTGGCCTGTACCCCAGTTCTTGTATGCATAAATAAATAAATCTTTAAAAAAAAAAAAGTTAAGAGCTTGCAAATATGGCTAAGAAACAAGTTACTTCATCTTTTCAAAATGATATGAGTGGGGTTAGTGAATAAAAATGCACATTTTTGTGCTTGTAGTCAGACTCTAATAGGTTCTGATAAACACCCACCAAGTGGATCAAGGTCTCTGCTTCTACCTTAGCTGAGAGAAAAGTTTAATATGTTTGGGGGTATAAAAAGAAGGTTGAAAAGGACTAATCCTGACCAAAATCAGTTGAGAAAGCAGTAGAAACACAGGATTTCAAATATTTTCATTAGGTATTTTTGAGACATGTAATTTCTTCTTTTTTTGAAAAATCACAGTTAATGTGTGGCCTCATTTGCCTGCAGTTTTATGATTTAATCAGTCTAAGACAATTATACTTGCCTAAAAAGAATTTCCACATTTTAAAATAAAAAATTACACAGAAAGCAAACAATGACATCTAAAAGTTGAAAGAAGAAACAAGGACATAATACGCTGATGCAAGGAGAAAGAAGGGGTAAAATGAGTCAGTCTTAGTATCAGCAAGCATTAAATGGAGCAGAGGACATTTCATAGCTGCCAAGATGTCACTGTTAGAAATCATTTTGCATTGAATAAGATGGGAAATGTGTAAATCAAAGATTCACAAAGCTACACGCTTAGTAGGCAACATTTTCCCTTTCCGATTTTTTTTTTTAACTGAGGTAACACTGGTTTACAACACTGTATGATTCAAAGGTATCAGTTCATATCTCTTTAGATGGTATGTTAATGCCTTTCACATTTTGCTAGGTCAAATGGACAGGTGATTGATAGGAAGATTTTTGCACTTGTCTTCTGTACTGGGGACATTTTTCTTCAAATACACATAATTTTTTTTCATTCACTTTTTATCCAGATATCACAAAAAACAACTCTTTCTTACTACCCTATCAAAATAAAGTAGTATGCTCCATCATTCTTTATCCACTTGGCTTGCTTTATTTTTTATGACATTTAATTAATATTTCTCACTGTATATATTTATTTATTAATTGTCCTCCCTAGATCATAAGCTCCATGGGTACAGGAACCTTGTTTTGCTCACTCTTTGCACTGTACAAGAGTACATGACACATTGTAGGTGCTCACTATTTACTAAGTGAATGATACCAACAATGATACTATTGTTGGTGCCACTAATCACCTGTGTGTTTAAAGTTAAAAATTGAGTTCTTTAAAGTAGTCACATATTAAGGGCTCAGCAACCAAATATAGCCAGTGGCTGCTGTGTTATTATTGATACAGAATATTTCCCTCACAAAATTCTACTTACAGGCCTTATGTTGGTTTGAATACTTAATAGATAAGTGGTTTTGTCTGTATATAATAGAATCAGATGTCTTTGAATGCCCATAGGGCCATTCCAATAATGGATGATGAACCACACAGTAAAGTAATTCTAAGAAATAAAGGTTGCACGAGTCATGTTCAGTAACAACAATGCAATGTAGCTGGAACAAAGAGAATTTCCTTGCCTTTCTAAATAGACAGAAATCAAGAAATACTTCTAAAAGTCAAAACCAGAATTACTATTTAAAAACTATTGTTAGGGCCTCCCTGGTGGTGCAGTGGTTGAGCGCTGGGTTGCGAAGCTGCCTGCAGCCTCTGCAGCACCGGTTCGATCCCCGGCTGCTCCCCGGCCACCAGAGGAGGGTCCCGCATGGCGCGCAGACCTCTCCTGCCACCCGCTGCTCCCCTCAGCAGTGTACTTCGGTCCTTCTGCCTGCTCTGCTCCCCGCTCTGGCTCTGGTGAATTCTCTCACCCTCCCGTGCTTCTGACTCTACCCAGTGCTTGTATAAATAAATAAATAAATGCTTAAAAATAAATTAAAAAATATATATATATTAAAAAAAAAATAAAAACTATTGTTAAAAGAATATCACAACAGGGCCTTCCCTGGTGGCACAGGCGGTTGAGCGCTGCGCTGTGAAGTTGTCCGCAGCCTCTGCAGCGCCAGTTCAATCCTGGCCAGCCTGCGAGGGCCCCACATGGCGCTGCAGACCTCTCCTGTCTCGCCCGCTGCTCCCCTCAGCAGTGTATTTTGTCCGTCTGCCTGTTCTGTTCCCCGCTCTGTCTCTGGTGAATCCTCTTACCCTTGCGTGCATCTGGCCTTTACCTTGGTTCTTATATAAATAAAATCTTAAAATAAATAAATAAATGTCACAACAAAATGTAAGAAATATGGCCATAGGTACATTGAGAGGAAAATTGATAGTTTTAACAATATGTTCATAATAAAATGAAAAATGCACAGAAACATCAATTCCAAAGAACACCTGCACCCCTATGTTTATAGCAGCACTGTTTACAATAGCTAAGCTTTGGAAACAACCCAAATGCCCAAAAATAGATGACTGGATCAAGAAGATGTGGTACATATATACCATGGAATATTACTCAGCATTCAAAAAAGATAAACACATGCAATTTGCAGCAACATGGATGGCGCTGGAAGGGATCATGCTCAGCGAAATAAGCCAAAAAGAAAAAGAAAAATACCGGATGGTCTCACTCATAGCAGGAATCTAGAAAACTTAAATAAGGGACCAGGAAAATGAATAACTATAAGAAAGTGAAAATCAAAATCAACAAAAAACTATGAACCAGAGACACTTTTTTGGGGGGCGGGGGCGGGAGGGGAGGGATTGGGGTCAGAATGGGGGGGCTGCAATTGTATGGGGAATATAACAATAAAATTTAAAAAAAAAATAAATAAAATGAAAAATGAATAAATAGTCAAGGGGGAAAAAAATCACAACCAGAAGACAGTGGGAAGAAAAATGAATGAATAAACAAACAAAACAAAAATAATTCCTTGCATTTGTAAAATAGGCAAGAAATGGTGGCTAGCTCAGGAAGACCAATATTTTACCCAAGATTTGCCCCAATCTGGACACTGGGACTAGTTTTATAGCTGAGTCCTATCAAGCCCTTCAGGGTAAAAATAAGAAGTCTCAGTTTTCCATTCTTAGCACAGCCATGGATCATAGTCCCAAGAAGTATGTGAAGCGAGTTGCAGTTCATACTGACTGGGGGATGTTTGCTGCTTGCCCATCCACCAGCCTAATCATTTTCCTAAGAAACAGATTTAAGTATGTTCTAACAGGAGATGAGGTGAAGATAATCTGTATGCAGTGGCTCATTACATGGATGGCAAAGTTCACACTGATAGAACCTACTCATCAGTTTCAGGGATGGCATCAGCACTGACAAGAATGGAGAGAATTTCCATCTTATCTATGATACCTCGGTCACTTTGCTGTTCTTTGCATTACAGCTGAGGAGGCCAAGTACAAGTGAGAAAAATCTTTGTGGGCTCCAAAGGAATAGCTCATCTGGAGACCCATGATGCTCATACCATTCATATCCTGGTCCCTTCTCATCAAGGTGAATGACACCATTTAGAATGATTTGGAAACTGACAAGATTACAGATTTCATTAAGTTTGAGAAAGGTTAACCTGTGTGTGGTGACTGGTGGTGCTAACCTGTGGAGAATTGGTGTGATTACCAAGTTATATCCAGGTTCTTTAGAGGTTAGTCCATGTGAAAGATGAAGTGGAACAGCTTTGCCACCTGCCTCTCCAACGTTTTTGTTATTGATAAAGTTAACAAACCATGGGTTTCTCTTTCGCAAGGAAAAGGTATCTGCCTCCAGTGCTGAAAAGAGTGGAGATATGGCAGCCAAACCGAACAGTGGATGAAATGCTTTCTAGGTGACATAGTTGTATGGAGTGGTCTTGATACTTGAATAAAGTTAAATACAACATGAGTAAAACACATAGTCTCAGAAACCAGGCTATAAGCATCAGTAAGGGCAGGGCAGGGAGTACTGTTTTACTTACCACCATATATCAATATATGTATATATCCTCAATTCTTGCCATAGCACCTGGCATATAGTAAAAAGTAAATAAAAGGGTATAACGACTGGAAAGGATGGAACATTTCATTGGTGTTTCACGTGTGTATAATTTTCAAAGAATGTAATATACATTTTTAATTATGAATAGACATACCAGAGCAGTATCCATTTTTAAGAATCCCTTGAAATATACAAGTGAAAATTTACTAATCAAGACCCTCTATTTTATAAAAACTTTATTTCCTACATGGGCAATACTCCCATTTAGACAACTAATAAAATGTGTGACATATACTTAATACATTAAAAATGGGGAGACAACCAGTATCTTGGTATATAAGACAACAAACCTCAGGTGTCACATATGTCCAACATAACTAAAAGGATCTGGACTTGACTTACAAGTTACTTAATTGGAGAAGGAATTCATGTTTAAGAAATGTCTTCATATGGAAAATTCTCAAAAAAAAAAAAAGTATGTAAAAACATTGATTTACAAAGCCAAAATAACAAAGTTTTATTTCTTGTATACCCTAAATGAGGTTTGTATTAAATGAAAACAAAATGCTAAATATCCATCAGTATATAAAAAAAGGAATTCAACTGCCTAAGTACTAGATACAACTTCATATTCTTTAAATCTTGAATCATGAATTGACTTTTTAAGAAAATAACTTATCAACTAGTACCTAAAGTTATTAACAACAAACAGTATCACTGGACATACTGCATCATTTATTTCTCCTATTGCTTTTATCACTATATTACAATATAAAACTTATAATCTCTTATGAGCCTGTGTTTAGCTAATTCAAGCTAATTAGTATATTAAAAAAATAAAGTTGTAGATATTGGTGGTTAAGGCTCCGTAAACAATATACACATTTTTCATTATAAAGAGAATAAGATAGCCAAAGTTTTTGTGTGTGTTTTTTTTCCCTCTTGTGAGCTTGCTTCATATTGCTCTGGTCTGTCAATTTTTTTTAAGTTAAAAAACCCCAAAAAGATACAAGGATGGTGAATGGTCTCCAACCATTGTCATGGACTTGTTTTTGTTAAAGCAAAAATCCTTTAAAAATAGCTCTTCAGTTCTGGCAGCAGATTAGAATAAATTCTCAAAAATTCACATTTTCTTCAAAAAATTTCAACTGGCGAGCTTTCACACTGTAAATTGTATACTTTTCACCCATGTGCTCCCGTAAACGTACCTATTTGGGAAACAAAAAAAAATCAGAATGTAACAGAAAAAATAATTCTGCAATCTTGGATTTTTTTTAAGCATGATACTGAAGGTGGAAATCATAAGAGAAAATGCTAAAAGTTTTGTTTATATAGAAATTTAAAACTTCAAGAGATCAAACAATAGTCATAAAGAGCAAACAAACTAGGGAAACATACATGCAACATACATGCCAAAGAATACCATTAAATATACAAAGAATCTCTAAAACATGACAATATTAGAACATTAGAGTTGATAAAATCCCACAGATAAAATTAAGCAAGGCATTTACAAAATAATACAAATGACCAATTAAATTTAGTCAGACTAGTATAAAGTTGTCAGACTAGAAATTAAAAATAACTACTATATGACACTCAATGAATATCTATTGACAAAACACCTGAAATTAAAATACCACCTAAAAACCTTACATAGATAGCAAACACCTCCTGATACAATGCACTGATAAGAACATCAGTTTTGTGCTATGTCTGGCAAAAAAACACATTCATAAGGAAATGACAAATCCAAACAACAGGACATTTAATAAAACACATGGGCTAATACTTTTAAAAAATATCAAGGTCATGAAAAACACATTGAGTAACTGCCAGATTAAAGACTATAACTAAATATAAAATGTGATCCTAATTGGTTTCACATTTGTCATGACAGTGTATTAACTGCACATGCCTCCTCATTAAAGTTGGTGAAAATGATTTAAAAACCAATCAAACCTCAAGAAATGGTCCTAAGGGTATACAACAAACATTTTTTTCAAGAAAATCTATTAAAACTTGGTAAGAACTGTATGAAATGTGGTACTTAAACTAAGATCAACAGTAATAGGTGGGATTTGACTAAGTGCCTCCCTCCCATGTAAAAAAAAAAATAATCTATACCGGATTGGTAAAGCCAATAACCTCTACCTGCAAGTCTGAAGGCTCTCTTCCTGATCGGAGCAGGACACCTGCCCCTATTAACTGTTGTTGAGATTTCAGGAGCGTGCAGCCAAGAAATGGGAATCCTAAGCACCGCTTATACTCTAAGATAGAGAATCTGCCTTGGGTGCAGAGACACTGAAAATGCTGGGGCCCCAATCACCTTTGCCCCAGACCATAATGCGATGATTGTATGCTGGGTGAAGCATGATGATAACACCACAGTCTACTACTGCCCCTCACTGCCAATGAACTTCTAAAGTGGGGTACCACTTAGAAACAAGCATGCTGTTGTCCACATTCCCAGCTCCAGAGCTGTGAGATTTTTGCCTGGGGAGTAGAAGACATAAAATAGCACCAAATCTTTTCCTAAATGAACAGAATTCATCTGGAAAAGAAAGTGCGGAAATTCAAACATAACAATGCTCTCAAAAACTGGAGGTACTGGTGAAAGGCACTGAGAGGAGATTGGTGGATTTGCTAGATATTTAGGCTAAACTGTTGAAGCTGGGAGAAGCCCCTTGGGCTCAGAATAAATCTCAAACACTTGACCTTGGGATCTGGCCCTTCCAAGGAGCCAGATTTGATTGGATCAGTCTGTGGAGCAATGAATGCCCCAGGGCATTGTTGAAAATAATAAAGCAATCAGCTGACAACTAAAAAACCTTGCAGCCTGGTGAAGTCAGGGAAAGAAAATCAGAAGAGTTTGCTGAATTTGTCATTTCAAGATGGCTGTGAGTGGACATACCCAAAGCTGCACCCACTGAGGGCAGTGTCAGAAACTTTATATTGTGGGGACGGGGGAGAGGTAAATAAGATTTCACCAAAATAATTGAGCCAATCACTAACAAATAAACAAGCAAATAACATTTACAATGAACCTCCTCTCTCTTGGATGCCAGTACCCAAAGTTGTAACAATACATTAGGTAAAAATATCCAATTTCCAATAAAAAGTTATGAGGCAGGCGAAGAAGCATACAGGCAAGAGAAACTGCATAGGAGAGCAACTGGATGTTGGGTTTAACAAAGACAGCCAAAGTAACCACTGCAAACATTTTATAGAACTAAAGAAAACAATGATTAAAGAAGTTATGATGAAAATATCATATCAAACAGAATACTGGTAAACAGAAAGAAATTATGAAAGACCCAAATGGAAATTCTGGAGTTGAAAAGTGCAATAACAAAACAGTCACCAGAGGTGCTCAGTGATATATTTAAATTGGAAAAGAAAATTAATAAGCAGGCTTGGAAATAGATTAATAGATATCTTTCTTTCCAAAGAACGGAAAGAAAATGGAGAAAAATGAAGTTTTAGTGTACTTAATTGGTTTACATGTAAAATGGGAGTACTAGAAAAGAGGAGAAAGGAGCAGAAAAAATATTTAAGGGAATAATGGCTCAAAACGTCCTACATTTATTGAAAAACATTTAAGAATCTCAATGAACTCCAAGGAGAATCAAGGTCAAAAAGAGCGACACAGGACCTCCCCGGTGGCGCAGCGGTTGAGCGCTGGGTTGCGAAGCTGCCTGCAGCCTCTGCACCGCCGGTTCGATCCCCGGCCGCTGGGTGAGGGTCCCACATGGCGCACAGGCCTCTCCTGCCGCCCGCTGCTCCCCTCAGCAGTGTATTTCGTCAGTCAGCCTGCTCTGCTCCCCGCTCTGACTGGTGAATTCTCTCACCCTCTCGTGCTTCTGACTGTACCCAGTGCTTGTATAAATAAATACATAAATCTTAAAAAAAAAAAAAAAGATCAACACACAGATACAGCAGGGTAGAAGTGCTGAAAGCCAAAGACAAGGAGAAAATTCCAAGGAGTTTGCTAAAAAAAAAAACAACAAACTATTACACTCAATAAAGAAGAAAGAGGATATAGTACTTTTTTTTTTTTTTTATAGAGGCATGTTTTATTTATTTATTTATTTGTTTGTTCATTTGTTTTGTTTATACATGCACTGGGTACAGTCAGAAGCGCGGGAGGGTGAGAGAATTCACCAGAGCCAGAGCGGGGAGCAGAACAGGCAGAAGGACCGAAGTACACTGCTGAGGGGAGCAGCGGGTGGCAGGAGAGGTCTGCGCACCATGTGGGACCCTCCTCCGGTGGCCGGGGAGCAGCCGGGAATCGAACCGGCGCCGCAGAGGCTGCGGGCAGCTTCGCAACCCAGCGCTCTACCGCTGCGCCACCGGGGAGGCCCCGAGGATATAGTACTTTTAAAATAAAATTTATTTCATGCATTTTATTGAACAACCACAAATGTAAGAAAATGCTAATTGCTTAAGAATAAATTTAGCAAAAGACATGAATAACATACTCTGAAAACTACAAAAACCATTGTTAGCAATGTGACCTTGGGGAGACTCATTTGAACTCTCTGTGCTCTGGCGTCCTCAACTCTGAAATGGGGATACCAAGTATAAACTTCACTGGATTGTTGGAGACTTACATGATTTAATATGCCTTTGAACACTGAAAACACTTTTAAAGTGTTACTGCCACTACAATTTATGGACTGATAGTCAATAAAATCTGGAGTCACTAAATGCTATGATTACACTAACTTCTTTTTTTAAAATCTATATTAAATGTTCTACAATGAGCATGTATTATTAACTTTGCATTCAGGCAATAATTTTGTTAATTAATATAGAATTGCTTGTGTTATATAAATATAAGTATGCCTAATTATTTACTTTTATGTCTAGGAATATATATAATGAATGTCTGAGAAGGAAAAAAATACCCAGACACTAAGGAGGTGTAAGTAATTGTTATTATAAAAGTTTTGTTCTAGGAAGAACTGTGTGGCTTTGTTCCCAGAATTGTGTAATTATTTCTGGTATAAAGAGACTATTGTATTGTAGCCTGACAGATAATTATGTCACTTGGACTAGTATACTTCTAAACATAGTTATGACTAATGTAAACCAAGCCTCATTTGAGGAAGCAAGGAATATTCAATAAATGCTAACAGTCATTCAAAATGGATTTTCCCAGAAAACAGCATATACTAATAAATGGATATATATATATATATATATATATATATACACTTTCTAAAATTGCATTGTATTTTAAACTTGGAATTTCATTAATCATTATGACTAAAGGAATTAAAATTATTTCTACACATCAGCAAATTAGCCAATTTGTTTAGTCAATTAAAGAAGAAAGAAAAATCAATTTTAGGGATAATGGAAGTTTAAATAAATTATGTTTTGTTTTGTTTTTTAAGATTTATTTTATTTATACAAGAGCCGGGGTAAGCCAGATGCGCGGGAGGGTAAAAGGATTCTCCAGACACAGAGCGGGGAACAGAACAGGCAGACTGACGAAATACACCGCTGAGGAGAGCAGCGGGCAAGACAGGAGAGGTCTGCTCGCCATGTGGGTTGCTCCAAAGCCGGCAGGGATAGAACCAGCACTGCAGAGGCTGTGGACAGCTTCACAGCGCTGCACTCAACTGCCTGCGCCACCAGGGAGGCCCAATAAATTACGTTTTTTTTTTTTTTAAAAAAAAGACTTAGTATAATAACTAACTTTAAGCAGAAAAAGTCATATTAGTCAAACTAAAATTTATTCAATGTAAAATTCTACAGTGTCCTTATCAAAATCTCAGCCGATATTTTTATAGAAATAAGCTGATCTTAAAATTCATATGAGATGCAAATAATGGCCAAATAAAATAAAAGATTAAATAAAAGGCAAATAAAATAAAATATTAAAATAATCTTTAAAAAGAAGGACAATATTGGAGTACTCATACTTTCTGATTTCAAAACTTATTATAAAGCTACAGTAGTTAAGACACTCTGTTACAGACATAGGACAGACATATAAATCAATGGAACATAATTGAAAGTCTAGAAATAAACCCTTACACTAAGGGCAATTGATTTCAACAATACCAAAACAATTCAAAAGAAAAAGAAGAGTCTTTTTGATAAATGGTGCTAGGACAATTAGATATCCACATGCAAAAGAATGAAAGTGGAGTCCTTCCTTATTGAATATAAAAAATTAGCTCAAGATAGATTATAGACCTGATTGTAAGAGTTTATTTTTTATTTTTTCAAAGATTTATTTATTTTTATACAAGAGCTGGGGGACAGGCCAGAGATGAAGGGAGTGAGCTGATTCACCAGAGACAGAGCGGGGAGCAGAACAGGCAGACTGACTGAAATATGCTGCTGAGGGGAGCAGCAGGTGAGACAGGAGAGATCTGCTGTGCCATGTGGGATTCTCCTGGGATTGAACCTGCACTGCAGAGGCTGCAGACAGCTTCATAGCACTGTGCTCAACCTGCTGCGCCACGGGGGAGGCCCTGATTATAAGAGTTTAAATGAAAAAATTCTTAGAAAAAAATATGAGAACAAATCATTACCTTGGTTAGGCAAGAGGTTCTTCGATATGATATTAAAGTACAAGTGACAGAAAGCAAAACAAAGTTCAACAAAATGAAAACCTTCTGTGCCACAAACAATGCCATCAAGAAAGTAAAGAAAGGGGCCTCCCCGGTGGCGCAGCGGTTGAGCGCTTGGTTGCAAAGCTGCCCGCGGCCTCTGCGGCGCCGGTTCGATCCCTGGATGCTCCCCGGCCACCGGAGGAGGATCCCACATGGTTCGCAGACCTCTCCTGCCGCCCACTGCTCCCCTCAGCAGTGTACTTCGGTCCTTCTGCCTGCTCTGCTCCCCACCCTGGCTCTGGTGAATTCTCTCACCCTCCCGCGCTTCTGACTGTACCCAGTGCATGTATAAACAAAACAAACAAACAAATATAATAAATAAATAAATAAATAAATAAATAAATAAATAAAACATGCCTCTATTAAAAAAAAAAAAACTAAAAAAAAAAAAAAAAGAAAGTAAAGAAAACCATCACAGAATAGGAAAAAAATTTTGTAATTACATATCTGATAAATAGAATATATCTGTATCTAGAATATATAAAGAACTCTTACCACTCAATAATACAAAGATAATAATTTTGAAAGGTACAAAAGATCAAAACAGACATGTCTTTTATAAAGATGTACATAAAGCCAGCAGGCATCTCAAAGATGCATATCATCATTGCTCATCAGGAAAAAGTAAATCAAAGTCATAATGAAATTCCATTTCCTATTTACTAAGGTTAAAATCAAAATGATGACAATAATATGTATCAGCAAGGATGTGGAAAAATTAAAATCCTTATATATTACTGGAAGGAATGTCAAATGGTGTACCTGTTTTGGAAAAGAGTCTGGCAGTTCTTCAAAATGTTAAACATAGACTTTCCATATGATTCAGCAATTTCTACTCCTAGGTACATACCCAAGAAAAATGAAAACATGTCCACAAATATTCATAATAGCATTATTCATAATAGCCAAAAAGTAGAAACAACCTTAACATCTATCAGCTAATGATGTTTATCTAAACAAAATATGGTATACAGTGGAATATTATTTGGCCATATAAAGGAATGATATGACATGCTATAACATGGATGAATCTTGAAACATTATGGTAAATCAAAGAAGTCAATCACAAAGAATCATATATTTTACATGATCCTATTTAAATGAAATATTTTGAATAGGCAAATCTACAGAGACATAAATATTAGTGGTTGCTTGGGGGCAAAGGGCAACCTTGGGGATGAAGCGTACAGGGTTTCTTAATTGAAAGTTCTAACACTGATTGTGGTGATGGTGTGTACAATTCTGTGAACAAACTAAAAACCATTGAATTTATACTTTAAATGGGTAAATTGTATGTTATATGAATCATATTTCAAAACGCTGTTTAAAAAAATTCTGAAGCATAAGTAGCTGATACAGCTAAAAGGACACTCACCTCTCTTTCCAATTCATCCTCCTCTTCCAAAAGATCATACACTTGTTCTAAAAGCTGAATCCCCAGGGCCTGGATTACATCAGCTCTCAAAACTTCAACTATTCTTCTGATCTTTTCAGAACCTGGCATTATAGCTAAAAAACAATAACAAAGACAGGGGAAATAACTTCTGGTTTAATGACTTTGTGTATTTTTAATTACCAAGGTATACATGTGAACTTAGGCTTCATGTTGACTTACCATCTCCTAAACCTAAAATCCACAACTGTCCACTTTGACCAAAATCTATATGAAAAATTCTAAACATGTATTTATTTATTTTTTTAAAAATTTATTTATTTATGCATACAAGAACTGGGGTAGAGGCCAGAGGTGCCGGGGGTGAGAGGAGTCACCAGAGACAGAGTGGGGAACAGAACAGGCAGACTGACTGAAATACACTGCTGAGGGGAACATTTGGCAAGTCGGGAGAAGTCTGCTGCACCATGTGGGTAGCTCCCTGGCAGGCCAGGGGACTGAACTCGTGCTGCAGAGGCTGTGGATAGCTTCATAGTGCTATGCTTAACCCCTTGTGACACCAGGGAGGTCCAACATGTATTTATTTACATTTATTTTTTTTTAAAAAATCAACATCCATGCAACTTTTCAGAAACTCATATAATATACACCTTTTATAAAGATGGTCAAACGAAATATAAAAACAAGCCAAAAAATTGCAAGCATCAGCGACTTAGTTAGATACATAGATACATTTCTCTAAGAAGTATATGCACTCCAGTTTGCTGCAAAAGAATAAACTGATACCTGAAGGTAGCTCTTTAAAGTGGAGTCCCTCTGTTTCTTCTGCAACCTTTCCATGAAGTATGAGCGTGTCCCGATACTTCCGGTGAAGTTTAAATTCTGACACTGGATCTGGTAGTAGGAGATCTTCACAGCTTTCTTTAGAGTCCAGTTTTAGGGTCTGAGTCATCATTTGTACCAAGTCACTCATTTCATTTGTATGACCTTTCCTGGAAGGAAAAAAAATCCCTTCATTATTTAACTTATTTCATGAGAATTTTTCATTAAAAAATTAAATACAATGGGTCTCCCTAGTGGCGCAGCGGTTGAGTGCTGGGTTGCGAAGTTGCCCGCAGCTTCTGCAGCGCCGGTTCAATCCCCGGCTGCCCCCCCCCCGCCCCCTTTGCCCCCCCCCCTCGGCCACCAGAGGAGGGTCCCACATGGCGCGCAGACCTCTCCTGCCGCCCACTGCTCCCCTCAGCAGTGTACTTCGTCACTCTCTCTGTTCTGCTCCCTGCTCTGGCTCTGGTGAATTCTCTCACCCTCACGTGCTTCTGACTGTACCCAGTGCTTGTATAAATAAATAAATAAATCGTTAAAAAAAAATTAAACACAAAATAACCTGAAGGAAGTTCTCTTCCAAACAACCGAATAAGTTCCTATAGATGGACCCTTCCAAAAATAACAAGTAGAAACTCTGGACAAAAAACAAAATAAACTTTGAATGCAGTGGAGAATGTACAAAATCTGCAGGCAGGCTCTGGATAGAAGTCAACATCTTTCAGCCTTAAGGCAGGCCATAGGCAACCAAAGTACAACAGACTACGCATAGTCTTTCTAGCCTACAGAACCAAAGGACAAGAGAATATAACCACTGCCATAAGAAAGTAAAAGAGGAGTCTTAGAAGGCAAGTGTCAGAAACAGGAAGTCCCAAATTCTGTGTATAAATTCTGTTGAACTATTTCTAACAAATTTAACTACCTTCAAGTACAATGCTCAAGAATAGAGAAATATCAAAGTACCAGCACCAAATAAGAGAAAATTGACTATATCCGATATCCTGTTAAAAACAGCAGACAAGCTAAGAAATAGGAAAACAGTACACATGTGAAGAGAAAAAAGTTAATAAAAAGACCCAGAAGTGATACAGTGATAGAATTAATAGATAAGGACTTTAAGCAGTTAGAAATACATTCTAGATATCTAAGCTAGAGGAAAGCATTTACATTTTGAGAGGCATGAAAGATATAAAATAATTTAAAATTGAGCCAGAAGAGTACAATGTGTTATACATATGGAATGGGATTACTAGATTAGATATGCAGGAGAAAATAATCAGTGAACTCAGAGATAGAGCAATACAACCTAGGAAACTGAAAAAGATGGAAAAGTCTGAACAAAAAGATGAGCACCATCAATGAGCTATGGGAAACTTTAAGCAATCTAATTTAACATGTAATTAAAATTTTCAAGAGGGCAGAAGGTCCAAAATATAGTTGAAGAAATAATGGCCAAATGTTTTCCAAGTCTGATGAAAACACTACATCCACAGATCTAAGAAGACATTCTATAAGAATTTTGAAAGAAAATCAGATGTGTTCATAAGGAGATATTTTGGCTCTAGCATATACTAAAACCCATATATAACATTATCAATAACAATAGTACAGGTTTGAATACTACTATAAATGTATATTTAGGATTAATTCAAACAAAAATAGTTTTTGAAGGGAGAAAGAAAAACAAGAATTTACCCTTCTCTGGAATCCCCATCTGATTTATCAGTTGAACTTGTAGAAGAACTTAACTCATCCTCAGAAACACAATGGGTGAGTTTCCGTTCCTAATATTTGGAAAAACAAAATTCAACATGACCACACAACCAGAATACACAAAATAATCTTAGATGTGGCATACAAACAAATGTGCACCTAAGTCCAACTGAGCAGGAGAAACTTCAGAGAAAGTTGAAATTATTTTACCCAAACGATGACCTAGTTCCCCCATGAAGTTCACAAGTGAAGCTGACGAACATCAAAGTAAAGTTTTACAAGGCACTAGAAAGTCTTAGCTATGAAAAAATTTCCTTTCTAGAGGAGAGTGCATGAACAGTTCTGGTGTTCCAACTTCTAAGCAGAGGCCTTGTGCCAAAGGAATACTGACTTATTTTTTTTGTTGAAGATTTATTTTATTTGTATGCATACAAGAGCTGGGGTACGGCCAGAGGTATGGGGCGGGGAGGAGGGGTGAGGGTGAGAGGATTCACCAGAGACAGAATGGGGAACAGAATAGACAGACTGACTGAAATACACTGCTGAGGGGAGCAGCCGGTGAGACAGGAGAGGTCTGCTGTGCCAGGTAGGTTGCTCCTTGGCCGGGGATCAAACTGGTGCTTGCAGTGGCTGCGGTTAGCTTCATAGCTAACCCACATATGGCTCACCAGGGAGGCCCAGGAATACTGGCATTGTAATATGAAAATAATGCCACTTAAATAAAAGCAACCTCCCATTGATCATATGTGAGACTCTGCTAAAACGCTTTAAAGGATTGCTTGATATAATTATACACAAACCTTACAACTTTGGAAAATGGAGAGGACAGCTTTAAATAGTGAAACAATTAAAGCACAGACTAGTGTTAAAGACAGATTTTCATTGTATTCAAGAGCAGGAAGTTTTTATTTTAAAATAATAACATGGGACCTCCTCCTTGGCGCAGAGGGTTGAGCGCAGCGCTGTGAAGCTGTCCACAGCCTCTGCAGCGCAGGTTCGATTCCTGGCCAGCCAGGGAGATTCCCACATGGTGCGGCAGACCTCTCCTGGCTCGCCCACTGCTCCTCTCAGCAGTGCTTTCAATCCTTCTGCCTGTTCTGCTCCCTGCTCTGTCTCTGGTGAATCCTCTCACCCTCTGGTGCCTCTGGCCTGTACCCCAGCTCTCATATAAAGAAAATAAATCTTTAAAAAAAAAAATAACATGTCCCTAGAAATGTCAGAAATTGGAATGTAGAAAAATGGATTATCCCCTGGGTATTTTATTATATAGAAAAATGTAAATGGATTGGAAATCTTGCAATAACCCTTTGAGCCACTAGATGGTGACCTTATATCATCTATAGATATGTGACGAAGGTACTTGACTGAAGAATAATCACCAAGTGACACTAAAATCTGGCCAGGTGGGTAGATATATTGGTTATATATCAGAATAAGCAAATTGTGGCCTAGTGGAAGGTTTCTGGAGGTCACGTTTTAAAGTCTACTAAAAAAGATAGGTTATAAGTGTGCCCAAAAAATTAATTCCCTAATGTAGCAAACACAATAATCCTTTTAATTATTACTGACCCTTTACTTTCCTTATCAAGAATGAAAAGTTGTACCTTAAGCCAGCAAGGCTGCAGAAATAAAAGTAACTAGTTAGCATTTATGAGGTTTACTGTATTAGGCTTGCTAGATGTAGGTGTGATTACCTTTCCCCCTTAGGACTATGTACCTGAGCAACAGTGCCGTCAGAAGACAACCATCCAGTTGGAGTTGGCTGGCCTTCCTCTTGTGGCTTCTCTGACCCCACTGCACTCAGAGAAGCTCTCCTCACTGACGGGCCTGAAAAAGTGACCACTCACAGCAGTTTGTAATGGGTTGACCACGACTGAAGAGAGTTTTGCACTGGGTATGAAAGATACCCCAGCAAGGGCCAGCCTAGAAGTAACTCAGACAGCATATTCATTATCACTCTGGTGTCTGACACCTCAGTACAAATCTCAACTCTAGGTCTAGCAGCTCTGTGACTTTAGGCCCCTCTGAGCCTTAGTTTTCTCAGCTGCAAAATGGGAATAATGCCTACTTTTGGCAATAACTGTAAATATGAGATAAAGCCCTTAAAATGCTTATGATAATCTTAGACAAGCATTCAATAAATGGAAACTGCTAGTATTGTCTTTAGATAATAGTAATAGGAATGATTACAGCCCTCCGCCCAGGGTAGCACTGTTTTGGTTTTCTCTATTCTTCTTCAACCAGGACTCTGAATATGGAAACAAATTAAACACTCACTTGATTTCCTGTCTGAAATCTCCCAGGAGTTACTGCCAAAGCCCTCTTGCTCTGTTTATAATATTCTCTTCCTCTGATAATACAAGTTCTATATCCAACAGCCAATCACGATTTTTAAAAGGCTTGAATAGAAACTTCAAAAATTCTTCCATGTCAGTTCCCCAAATGGTTTACTAATGCTTGAACATTCTTAACACCTCACAATCAGAATCAATGCTTATGTCCATGAGCCATACCAAGCACCACCAATAGATGAAAGAAAATTAACAACCTTACCTGAGGGGAAAAGTTCCTCCTGTGACTGCTTTAGTCGCCTCCTTTCTCTCGCTGATAATGGCCGATCCTTTTAAAGAAAGTTAGAGTGAGGGCCTCCTTGGTGCCCTAGGGGTTAAGTCTCAGCACTATCACTACTATGGCCTGAGTTCAATCTTGGGCCAGGGAGATAACCCCCATATAGCTCAGCAGACCTCTCCTGCCTGATCTGCTGCTCCCCTCAGCAGTGTATTTCAGTAAATCCACCTGTTTCTGCTCCCCACTCTGTCTCTGGTGAATCCTCTCACCACCACCCCCAAACCTCTGGCCTACACCCCAGTTCTTCCATGCAAAAAAAAAAAGAAAGAAAGAAAAAAGAGTCACTTCTTTTCCTTACTATTCTTATAATACCTCGAATGCATGATGTATCATCCAGTAGTGCAGGAAAAGACTTTGCACAAGCCTTTAAAGGAGTGGTCATTTGAAACCAGTCTATAGCAGGGATATAGCTACTAGCCAGTAATGATAACAGCCTTCATTTCTGGGAAATATTCATTTTTGGAGGGGCAAACGGGGAATTTTGCATTTCCTACATTCAGAATCTACATTCAGAAATTGTTCTCTTTAATTGGAATTGACCATCCCTGGAACTAAAGAATTTGTCTATTTCAATCAAAGCTTCAGCTGAGAATTATAAACCTGTTCCTTCCAGTGCTTGGTTAAGAAGCTTTAACACAAAGCTTCACAATATATGCAGGTTTTTACAACCAAAAAACATTATAAGAAAGTTTTTATTTTATTATTATTATTTTAAGATCTTCATTTATTTATTTATACAAGCACTGGGTACAGTCAGAAGCGCGGGAGGGTGAGAGAATTCACCAGAGCCAGAGCGGGGAGCAGAGCAGGCAGAAGGACCGAGGTACACTGCTGAGGGGAGCAATGGGCGGCAGGAGAGGTCTGCACGCCACGTGGGACCCTCCTCCGGTGGCCGGGGAGCAGCCGGGGATCGAACCGGCGCTGCAGAGGCTGCGGGCAGCTTAGCAACCCAGCGCCCAACCACTGCGCCACTGGGGAGGCCCATAAGAAAGTTTGTAAAAGTCCAAAATATATCCTCACAAACCTTTGATGATATCTCACTGCTCCCTGAACTGCTCACAGATGCAGTGACCACCACACTTCGGTTTTCAGCATCCTTTTGTGTTGAATCTACTTTTCCGATAACGGGAAGAGAAGGCAAAATTCGAGAAGCGTGTTGGAGCTTAAATAATTAAAAAAGAGGAGGACATTATCAGTTTCATACAGCCAACTCCAAAGTTTTCCCACTGGTAAGTGGGAAAGTGGGTAAGTCGCCAGTGATTAGATCTCAAAAACTTAAAAATACTGCATTTTGGGGGGAGAATTATGCCAAAAGTGAAATGCTATCTAAAAAGCTAATAGAGACAGTGCCTAAAAAGATTACTTCAAGAAATGAGGAGTCAGCATGAGTTTATATTAGGGAGAAACTGTTCATCAATATAACACAGGGGAGATCTGAGATTTATGTCATTAGCCTGTTTAACTCTTAAAATGACCAGCCCCTCTTTGCTAGATGAACAGTAAGACAAAGTCCTTACTCTGCTTCCATCTCACTGGCATTTGAAAATTACTAGCTGGCATCTAGTTAGCTACCACCCTTCTCCATATATTCGTTGCATTTCTTATGTGCCTTCCTGACAACTGCTAATCATTCTAAATAGAGACTGAGCTTCCTAAAATCTGTTTCCCAAATAGCAGCATGATGACTCCTTCCAGAGATTTCTGCCGACCTGTCTCTTTTCCCCATTGTGCTCAGTCTGTTCTCTTTTCTTCTGCCGTCGCTGTCGAGACAGGGAAGGCTCAGATCCAGAGCTGTGTGGCTGTAAACCTGGGTGAATTCTATCCTGTTTCTCTATAATACATTCACCAGCATCTTGAGCCTTAAAAATAATAAAATGAGACAAATAGCAACAAAAACAGAATAATGAAATAGTTTTTGAACTCCCAAATAGCCAAATCCTCTATATCTACTTTTATATTTATGATGAAAATCAGGGAGTCATCTTTCTCAAAATAAATGCTTATTTGCAGTGTTGACAGGCAAAGACAAAATGCTGATATTGTTATCCACATACTCTAGCTTCTTTTCTCTTTTCCCAAATAAAAATAATTATTTCTATTAAAATTACTCAGCTAGTTTTTAACCTGAAACTACTGGTGTTCAATTTTTAAAATTTTTTCATAACATTCAATAGATTTTTCTGTTCAGAAAACTTACAAATGTTCAAATGAAATCTAATTTATTATATACAATTTCCCATGTAAACATCATTTATTTGGATGTATTATTAAAAAGCATGATGAAAACAATATTGAGTTTGAAGTTAGATGAAGTCATATCTGAAAACCTCAACTCCTGAATTTCAATTTTTTCTCATCTATAAATCAATATAAATTCTTACACTGTATAACTGAGGATTTGAGGAGATGTTGCATTTAATGTATTTAGGACTATGTTTAGCACACAGTGCTCAAAAAGTGGGAATTATCACTAGCAGCAGTCATGATAAAATGAATTACCTTCTAAGTTATAAAGATCACCAAGGTATTAGTATTTTAATTTGGATAGCTGGTTTTAGAAACTAATGTATACCAAAAATTAAAATAAAATATATCCTTGCTTTATTTATGCATACAAGAACTGGGGTACAAACCAGAGATGCAGGGGGGCAGGTGAGAGAATTCACCAGAGACAGAGCAGGGAGCAGAACAGGCAGACTGACTGAAATACACTGCTGAGGCGAGACAGGAGAGGTCTGCTTCGCCATGTGGGTTTCTCCCTGGCAGGCCGGGGATGGAACTTGTGTTGCAGAAGCTGCAGATTGCTTCATAGTGTGGTGCCCAACATCCTGCGCCACCGAGAAGGCCCTATTCTTGCATTTATTTTTATTTATTTATTTATTTTTTAAAGGCATGTATTATTTATTTATTTGTTTGTTTGTTTGTTTGTTTATTTATACATACACTGGGTACAGTCAGAAGCGCGGGAGGGTGAGAGAATTCACCAGAGCCAGAGCGGGGAGCAAAGCAGGCAGAAGGATCGAAGTACACTGCTGAGGGGAGCAGCGGGCGGCAGGAGAGGTCTGCGCGCCATGTGGGACCCTCCTCCGGTGGCCGGGGAGCAGCCGGGGATCGAACCAGCGCCTCAGAGGCCGTGGGGAGCTTCGCAACCCAGCGCTCAACCGCTGCGCCACCGGGGAGACCCTTGCATTTATTTTTAAGCAATTTTTAAGTATCAGAATATCTGTTTTCAGGTATATGGACATTGCTAATTGAGTATCACTCAATCAACAAATTTTTATCAAGAGCCCACTATATGGTACATTTTTAGAAAGAAAACAAATATTATGATATTAATACAAGATAAAATTGTTTAAGAGCCATCATTAGACATTATCATCCATCATTTAGCTCCTCTGGAAAATGCAAATAATGACTCTTACAGGTAAAATAATTTGAAAATTCATTCTTTCAAGATTATTTGCATCCAAAAGGGTGAATTTGGACCTGTTCTCATAGCATACACAAAAAGTAACTCCAAATGGATCACAGACCTAAATGTAAGAGCTAAAACTATAAAATCTTAGAAGAAACTATAAATTCTCATAACACCAAAAGCACAAGACATAAAAGGAAAAAGCAAGTCAAATGTGGCTTGATCAAAATTAAAAATGTTTATGCTTCAAAGAATACCATCAAGAAAGTGAAAAGACAACTCACAGAATGGAAGATATTTTCAAGTCTTATATCTGAAAATGGACTAACATCTAGAATAGAGAAAGAATTCTTGCAATTTAACAAAAAATAAATAAACCAATTTTAAAATGGGAAAGGATCTGACAGATATTTCTCCAAAGCAAATGGCCAATGAGCACATGAGAAGATGTTCAACATCATTAATCATTAGGGATATTCAAATCAAAATCACAATAACATTTCATACACATTAGGATAGCCAGAATAAAAAAAAAAAAAAAAACCCAAAAATGGGAAATACCAAGTGTTGGTGAGGATGTGGAGAAATTTCAACTCCCATATATTGATGGAGGGAAGTACAATGATGTAGTTACTTTGGAAAATAGTTTTGCAGTTCCACAAAATGTTAAATACAGTTAGTATATGACACAGCAATTGTACTCCTAGGTATATACCAAAGAGAAAAAAAAATATGTCACATAAAGATTTGCACAAGGATGTTTACAGAAGCACTATGCATAGTAGCCAAAAAGTATAAATATTTACCATTGATAAATAGATAAATAAAATATGGTATGTAAATACAGTGCAATTTATTTGGCAAGAAGAAGGAATGATACTAGTGTATGCTACAACATAGATCTTAAAAACATACTAAGTGAAAGAAGCCAGATACAAAAAGCCACAGGATTCCATTTATATGAAATGATCAGAACAGGCAAATGCAGGCGGTCAATAACTGTTGCGGCTAGAGGCAAGGAGGAATGGACAGTGAACGTAACTAGGCATGGAGTTTCTTTTGAGGTCATGAAATGTTCTAGAATTAAACAGTAGTGATGATTACACAACTTTATGAACATATTAAAAACCACTGAATTGGTACTTGAAAACTTAAAAAAAAAAAAAGAAAAAATTAAACTAGTGAATCTGATGGCTAAGCAGAACAAGTACAACACATATAATTTTATCTATAAAGTACTAAGGATTCCAATGTCCAGAGAAACCTTAAGACTGTATCTTGGTTTTGATTTAATGGCTTTAAGAGTATTATACTTGCATTTTTTCTAAAAACGTTATTAAATATATAAACATATAGTTTATTACATACTTATATAAAAGATGTTAAACTAAAAAATATATGAAGTTTAAATATATTTAAATCCTATTATTAAAATATAGTCTATATATATTTTAAACATTTTACATATAAAAATGTAAAGTTAACCAAATGTTAAGGCTTTCTAATTCTCAGCTATTATTAACTCAAGATTCTTTCCAAGTTCAAGTAGAACAGAACTTGAAATCAGATTTTCTGATTGTTTGAACTACCCATCTACTTGGAAGACTAAGAGTGATACACAGAGAGCAAAAAAATCCAAATATTATACTTTGACCAAGTACCATTGCCAGGCCAGTCACACAAGAGTTCTAAGAATCCCACGGGTCCTATCTCTTGGTTTCTCTTATGTTTAAAATGGTACAGAGTATGTTTTCCTGAAATGACAACTAGAAAACACTCAAAAAACAACCCACACCTTTGTAACTGCACTTTCCATTCCTCCCTTTGAAACTAACAACTTATGCTTATCACTCACCTGGTCCTTTGGCTTTTGGTCTTTGTTTAGGGGCTGCAGAGGCTTCACTGGGTCAGTTCTTCCCCCAGTAACATCATTAGTGGCCCGTGTAGAAATTAGGTTTCCAGGTTGAGTGCTGGATTTAGTGTTATACTGCAGATTTTCCTTCACTTGAGAAATATTGCATTTGCCTTCTAGCTCAACAAAAGCATCTGAGTGTCTTGGTTGATTCTCTTGAGCTAAGCCAACATTCATTGAGTCCCTCCTTTCTGCTGGTAAGATGTCAATATTCACCCTACTGATTGTAGCTAGTGACTCTGCAGTACTGCTCATGTCTGCCTTGCCGGTGTGGCCTTTCAGACTCATAGGTGTCCTTAATGGGTCAATGACTATCGGTTTCTCCTGGAACAAACATTTGTCTTCACCCTGAGTGAAAACATACTGGGTGAAAACATGCATTCTTCATACCATATAAAAAAAATTAACTCAAAATTAACTCAGAAAATTAAACACAGAATTACCATATGAGGCAGCAATTTCACACTTAGGTATATACTCCAAACAATGTAAAGTAGGGACTCAAATAGGTATCTGTGCACCAATGTTTACAGCAGCATTATTGACAATGGCCAAAAAGTGGAAACAACCCCAAAATTCATTAGCAGATGAATAGACAAACAAAATGTAGTATATCCTTACAATGGAATATTATAAAGCCATTGAAAGGGATTAAGTTCTGATATATGCTACAACATGGATAAACCCTGAAAACTTACTAAATGAAATAAGACATACAAAAGTAAAAATATATGATTTCACTTATGCGAGATATCTAGTACAGGCAAAATCAAAGACAGAAAGTAGGTTAAGGTTACCAGGATCTGAGAGCAGGAAGAATGGGAGTTATTGCTCAATGGGTACAGAGTTTCTGTTTGGAATGATAAAGAATTTTAGAAAACAGAAGTGATAGTTGCACAACAATGTGCTGTAACTAAGGTCACTAAATTGGATGCTTAAAGATAGTTCAAATGTCAAATTTTATGTTTTATCTTTCCACCAATAAAGTTTTTTTTAATGGATCAATAGCCTAAATATAAGAGTTAAAACTAGAAGACTCCTGGAAGAAAACATAATGATCACCTGGATTTGGCAAGAATTCTTAAATGTGACACCAAAAGCATGAGCAACTAAAGGGAAAAACAGATAACTTAGACTTAACCAAAATTTAAAGATTATGTACATAAAAGAATATTTATCAAGAAAGTAAAAAGACAACTTATAGAATGGGAGGAAATATTTGTAAATCATATATCTGATAAGGTTCTAATATCCAGAACATAGAAACAATACTTAGACCATAATAACAAAGTACACAAATACAAAAGCCCAATTAAAAAATGGACAAAGGACTTAATAGAGACATTTCTCCAAAGAAGGCACATAAATGGCCAAGGAGCATGTGAAAAGATGCTCTGTGTCGTTTGTCATTAGGGAAATGCAAAACAAAACTACAGTGATATACCACTTTACATCTACTGGTATGGACAGAGTAAAAAAAAAAAAAAAAAAAAAAAAAAGAATTGGCAAGGTTGTAGAAAAACTGGAACTCTGGTGGACTGCTGGAAAATGGAAAATGTGTAAAATGGTATAACTGCTCTGGAAAATAGTGTGGTAGGTGCCTCAAAAAGTTAAATATAGAATTAATGTATAACCCAGCAATTCCACTCCTAGGTATACACCTAAAAGAACTGAAGACAGGTAGTCAAACACAGAAATGTTCATAACAATAGCCAAAAGGTGAAGACAACCCAATATCCACCAATGAATGAACAAACTGTGGTGTACAATGGAATATTATTCAGACATAAAAATAAAGATTGATATACGCAATATAGCTAAACCTCAAAAACATTATGCAAATGAAATAAGTCATCTACAAAAGGGTACATATTGTATGATTACATTTATAAGTATACAGAATAGGCAAATTAAAAGAGAGGGGAAAAAGCATCGGTGATTTCCAAGGGCTAGATGGAGAATAAAACAAGGAGTTTCTTCTTAATGGGTATGCCGCGTCCTTTAGGGATAATGAAAATGCTTTGGAACTAGATAGAGGGGTGATTGCACAACATTGCACTTACTTGTTCACTTTAGAATGATTAACTTTGTTATATAAATTTCACCTCAATTAAAAAAATTCTTCAAGTTATTACAGCACTGACTTCATGAACGGTTTCAACATCCACCTTGGATAAAGTGGGCTACTTTCACTAGTATTCTATCTTTATAATACATGATTAATTGCACTACAAAATATTTAGTAAAAACCTAATAATTTCACATAAAATAATTTGCTTTTATTACCTATCATTTCAAGACAGTTTTGAAAACATATGCCCCTTAAAAAGAAACATACCATTATATGTATCTTGGAATCCTCAGAAGAGTGTAGTTGGGGGAGAACTACTTCATGATTTGCTTCAGTCTTTCCAGAGACCACTACAACAACAGACTTGGATTTAGAGTCACCATTTTTAATATTATTTTTGGAGGTTTTACTTCATGAGAAAGAAAAGAAAAAGTTATTATCAATATTGTGACGATTAAAGGTTTTTACATATACAAGGAAATGCGGATATTACACTCCCATATAAGACTGTTCCATTTATAAAGAGTCTTTTAAAAACTAGGGGGCATTCTAGAAAATACAACCATGCTCTTTGAAACAATGTCATGAAAAACAAAAGAGGTGGGAAACTATCCCAGACCCAAACTAAGGAGACATGCAGACTAAATGCCAGCATTCCCTTGATTGGATCCTGGAACATTAGGACATTAGTAGAAAAACTAGTGAAAGCTAAATAAAGTATAGTGTTCAACCAATAGTAATGTACTAAGGGTGGTTTCTTAGTCCTGACAAATGTACCATGGCAATGGAAGATGTTGGTAATACTTGAAACTAGGTGAGGAAGGTATATAAGCCAGGCGTTGCTTAATGATGTTTTGGTCCACAAAAGACCACATACATAATGGCAGTCTCAATAGGTCATACCATGCACCCTAGGTGTGCAGGAGGCTCTACCACCTAGGATTATGTAACTATACTCTATGACATTTGCATAACAAAATTACCTAATAAACCATTTCTCAGGGGTATCCCCACATTTCTTAGGACTTATCTCTATAATTAAGTCATTCATGATTGTTCTGAGGCTCTGTATTATTTTTGTAATTTTCTGTAAATATAAAATTATTCCAAAATAAACAATCAGAAATTACCTCACAAACAGAAGCACCAGGATTATTTTCATCTTCAAGTTTCACACATTTATGGTAATAACACCACAACTGTTTTGCCCAGTTTGAGAGTAAAAGTGACTGGTATATTCAGCCTCAATTTACAGAATAAATGTATACAAGATTAATAACTCCAACTGTTTTAATGTTATGTTTCTACAACGGGGCTAAATAAACCTCTAGAGAATTCAAAGGAAGCATAAAGACTAGCACTATGGAAGTTCATAGGTTTGTTTAGTGGGAGATTCTAGACAACATTAACAAGATGGCCTTTCTTTATCCCCCATGTGCTCTCCAGCATTGCCTTCCAAATTTATTTATTTATTTGTTTATTTAAATATGAATGTCTTAACATGCTTTAAAAATTTATCTGTAATGTATGTACTGCAAAAACCCACAAAATTTCCTACTTAAAGGTTATGTTTTCCACAGTCAAAAGAAAGCAAATTAAGCTCAAAGTAAACGAGATGAAGAGCCACAATTTTATGGATATGTATGTTGCCTTCCAATTTAACATTTCACAAAGTAGAGCTCGTAAATGTTTTGTCCAGCCCTAAATCTTAGATCCTGGTATAGTTGTTTAGTGAAAGTAAGATCTACAAGTCAAAGGAAGGAAGCAAAAGGATTTTGACACTAGAAGTTACATGAATGAAAAGGAAATCTTAGGAAAGCTTTTAGAAATGTAAGCACTAGTTTTCATGTGACTATTATTTAACATAGTACATAATGTAATAGATTTCTTAGATAATCTCTCATTTTAATATGATTTCTAAAACATACGTCCTTTGAAAAGAATCATACTCGGTATGTTCTGGAACCCTCTGAGGGCCATTAATGTGATTCTCTAAATGGTGTTCTAGATTTCTGATTCTAGCAGTTAAGCTAAGTCTCAACATATATTCTAGTCATGCAAGTTTATGTCCTGTTTTTGTTTTTTTTTGATATTTCAAGAGCAGGTTTATTAGAAAAGGGGCAAGAGCAAAAGATACTTGCATAGACACAAACGGTAAGGAAAAGCTGCCCCAAAAGAGACAGGTTTGCTGAGAGGCCTGAGTGGTTGTGGGTGGGCGGCCTTGAGGAGAGCTGCCTCCACTGAGGGAGGTCAGTGAAGAGAAGCCCCGGCATGTAACGATCACGGGCAGGCAGGAGGCTGCTGCCCTGTGGAGGGAGAGAGTTGGTGAAAAGAGGCACCTGCATAGTCACAGGTAGGAAGTGGAAGTGCTGCCATCCTATTTTTTTAGAAAATTCAACAATCAAGATGTGGTATATCCACACAATGGAATACTAGTCAGAAGGAAAGATGAAATGTTTCCATTTACAGCAAAATGGAGAGAACTATGTGTAGTAAAGTAAATCAAAGACAAGTATTGGATGTTTATATAGCAGACAAGTCAACAAAGAAAAATACTTATATTTTATGAGTGGCAGAAAGGGTCAAACAGTATAAAGGATGGTGGTGGGAAATAAAATTAAAATAAAAAAGCTTAAATTTTTTAAAAAAGCACCTCAACATAAACTCTTGTATATGAAAACTGTTGAAACCACCCTCTCTTATTCTATTTAGCCCAGCTACTTATAAGAGAAGCATCTTACGCCTTTGTGGCCTCCAAAAACAAGGAGATTTGGCGTTTTATGTAAGGTTGTCTCAGGATGCTCCTCACAGAAGGTCTTTCTTCAGGCTTTTTGCTCAACATTGTTCTTATCAGTTCTGCCAACTCTGGGCTATAATCTTTTGGCATGGGCGGCAGCTACAAAGAGAGATAATACCACAGTTATGACAAAGGATTCTGTGAAACAAAGTGAAAGATAAAGGTTTACAATCATTTATTTAAAGTCACTATCTACTAAGCAGAAATAACTAGAACATTAGTCTATAGAAAGTATATTGGCAATAACAGCAAGTTGTAAAAGTATATTCTTCAAATCAGTAGTCCCATTTGAGGACTCTCTCCTTCAGAAATGAGAACATAAATTCCTAAAGATTTATGTACCATTGCAATATTGTTCTTGCAGTAGTAAACAACTGGAAATAATTTATACATCATTCCATCAGGGACTTGTGGAATAGATTATGGTACATCCTTCTAATAAAATATTAGGAAACCTCTTTAAAAATACAGGTATTTACCTGGAAAGATGTCCCTCGTGTATTAAGTGATTTGTTTACTGATGTGCATAAACTGATTCCATTTCAGTGAATAGAACAGGCAGATTGACTGAAATACATTGCTAAGGGGAGCAGGGGGAGAGTCAGGAGAGGTCTGCTGCACCATGTGGGTAGCTCCCCTGACCGGGGATTGAACTCATGCTGCAGTGGCTGCAGATAGCTTCATAGATTGTGTCTTAACCCCTTGCGCCACCAGGGAGGCCCCCCATTTCAGTTACTTTTTAAAGAATGTGTGTGTGTATACATGGATATACATACCCAGTTATATCTTTATAAATAGGAAAAAATCAGAAAGCCTATTCACCAAATTATTAGCAATGGTTATCTCGAGGAAATGGAAATTAATAGGAGAGGGGAATTTCACTCCTATCTTGTTTGATCCTTTAAAAATATAATTACAGGCAAATTTTACTTTGTGTTTTTCAATATTTTTTTAAATTAAAAATTAAATGAGTCTTTGTATGTTCCTCATGGAACTAACATATAAAACATTAGTCACTCTGGCATCTATCATACATGATGCTTTCTGCAGTTCTTTTTTTTTTAAAGAGATTTATTCTATTTATGCATACAAAAACTAGGGTACAGAGATATGGGGGGTAAGAGGATTCACCAGAGAAACTGGGGATCAAAATCGGCGTATCTACTGAAATACACTGCTGAGGGGAGCAGCAGATGAGACAGGGGAGGTCTACTGCGCCATGTGGGTTGCTCCTTGGCTGGCTGGGGATTGAACTCATGCTGCAGTGGCTGCCAATTGCTTGATAGTGCTGTCTTTAAGCCTGCACCACCAGGGAGGCCCCTTCCTGCAGTTCTTAACCGGTTACTGGTGATTATGAAGATTAACAAAGGAACAAGTTCAGCGTAGACTCATTTTATTTATTTATTTATTTATTTATTTATTTTAAAGAATCCAAATTATTTTTTAAAGATTTATTTATTATTTATTTATACAAGCACTGGGTACAGTCAGAAGTGCTGGAGGGTGAGAGAATTCACCAGAGCCAGAGCGGGGAACAGAACAGGCAGAGTGATGAAGTACACTGCTGAGGGGAGCAGCGGGTGGCAGGAGAGGTCTGCACAAGATGTGGGACCCTCGCCCGGTGGCCAGGAATCGAACCAGCGCTGCGAAGGCTGTGGGCAGCTTCACAGCCCAGCACTCAACCGCTGCACCACCGGAGAGGCCCAGAGAGTAGACTCATTTTTAAATGGAGTTCATTTAACCATAAGCTACATAGAAGATACTAATAATCTCTCAGGACAGCTGAATATCCTGTGAGTACAAATTAGTAGGTTTCAAAATGTCAATTCTTCGGAGCCATTAAGCCACCTTTACAAATTAATATTAAGAAAACAAAGAGGGCCTCCCCAGTGGTGCAGTGGTTGAGCACTGGGTTGCGAAGCTGCCAGCAGCTTCTGTAATGACGGTTCGATCCCGGGCTGCTCCCCGGCCACCGGAGGAGGGTCCCACATGGCCACCGGAGGAGGGTCTCACATGGCGCACAGACCTCTCCTGCCGCCCGCTGCCCCCCTCAGCAGTGTACTTCAGTCCTTCTGCCTGCTCTGCGGCTTCTGACTGTACCCAGTGCTTGTATAAATAAATAAATAAATCTTAAAAAAAAAAAAAAATGAAAGTAAAGGTCCTCCCTGGTGGCACAGGCGGTTGAGCGCAGCGCTGTGAAGCTGTCCACAGCCTCTGCAGTGCCGGTTCGATCCCTGCCTGCCTCGGAGCAACCCACATGGCGAGCAGACCTCTCCTGTCTCTCCCGCTGCTGCCCTGAGCAGTGTATTTCGTCAGTCTGCCTGTTCTGTTCCCTGCTCTGTCTCCCGTGAATCCTCTGACCCTCCTGCGCCTCTGGCCTGTACCCTGGTTCTTGTATAAATAAAAATAAATCTTTTTTTAAAAAAAAAGGGCATCCCCGGTGGCACAGTGGTTGAGTGCTGGGCTGCAAAGCTGCCCGCAGCCTCTGCAGCGCCGGTTCGATCCCCAGCCACCGGGTGAGGGTCCCACATCTCGGGTAGACCTCTCCTGCTGCCCACTGCTCCCCTCAGCAGTGTGTTTTGTCAGTCCGCCTGTTCTGCTCCCCGCTCTGGCTCTGGTGAATTCTCTCACCCTTCCGTGCTTCTTCTAACTATATCCAGTGCTTATATAAATAAATAAATCTTTAAAAAAAAATTAATATTAAGAAAACAGCCAGTCTTTCCCCTTCTATTCCAACTTTTCCCAATGAAAGGAGACATTATTACTAACTACCCAACATCAAAGATTACTCACTTTTGCCATTAACTCCTTACAAAGCTGCATTAAATTCACCTTGCTCCAAATAGTAAAAAAAAATTCCAGAATATTCTTTACCTTTCCTTCAATAATCCGATAAACTAAAGAATTCATGTCTTTTGCATTGAAAGCATGCTTAAGGGTGGCCATTTCATAAACACAGCATCCCAGGGCCCAAACATCAGACTAGAAAAGAAAAACAGCAAATGATCAAATGTTGAAATGCCTTGTTTACATTTTTCCCATTTAAAAAAAAGGACATTTTCCTTAAACCAATCTACAGATAACTCTTCTGGACTTACTATTCTCATGGGTTCTGATATTATGAATACTGTCTTAGAAATAAGATGAGCAGACAGACACAGCTCAGTCTTACCTTATAGTTGTAAGGTTTGTTTGAGAACAATTCAGGGCTCATGTAGTAGGGTGTGCCAATGAGGGTACTAGCCATGTCACAGTGGTTCTCTAACACTCGGGCAATTCCTAGGTCACCCACTTTGATGATGTTTGTTCTTGTTAAGAAGACATTTTGAGTTTTCAGATCTCGGTGAAGGATATGCTTTTCATGTAAATACTGGGAAGAGAAATAAAATTTCATAAAATATATATTTACTTATCTACTTATTTATTCTTGGCTTCTTATACATCATCAACAATTGCATAAGAGCCTAGTTATATATCAAAACACTACTATTTTTTTTTTTTTAAATTTTTTTATAGAGGCATGCTTTATTTATTTATTTGTTTGTTTGTTTTGTTTATACATGCACTGGGTACAGTCAGAAGCGCGGGAGGGTGAGAGAATTCGCCAGAGCGGGGAGCAGAGCAGGCAGAAGGACCGAAGTACACTGCTGAGGGGAGCAGCGGGCGGCAGGAGAGGTCTGCGCGCCATGTGGGACCCTCCTCCGGTGGCCGGGGAGCAGCCGGGGATCGAACCGGCGCTGCAGAGGCCGCGGGCAGCTTCGCAACCCAGCGCTCAACCGCTGCGCCACCGGTGAGGCCCTCAAAACACTACTATTGGGCCTCCCCGGTGGCACAGCGGTTGAACGCTGGGTTGCGAGGCTGCCCGCAGCCTCTGCGGTGCCAGTTCGATCCCCGGCTGCTCCCTGGCCACCGGAGGAGGGTCCCACATGGCGCGCAGACCTCTCCTGCCGCCCGCTGCTCCCTTCAGCAGTGTACTTCGGTCCTTCTGCCTGCTCTGCTCCCCGCTCTGGCTCTGGTGGATTCTCTCACCCTCCCGCGCTTCTGACTGTACCCAGTGCATGTATAAACAAAACAAACAAATAAATAAATAAATAAAACATGCCTCTATAAAAAATAAATAAATAAAAAACCACTACTGTTTCATAATCACTATTGTTTCATAAAAAAATCTATGTACAAAAAAAAAAAAAAAAAAATCTATGTACAATTTTCCAAAGTAAGAAAATGAAGTTCCATGTCCAGTTCCTTCATAATCGTTCCCTAGTAACTTGATAATTATTCCACTTAGCATTAATTAGATATAGTTAAAAATATGCTTACAAACTGCCACTAAAGGTAGAAAGACAACTTATACAAGGTTAGGACTACATCCGCTCAGAATCATGAAATCTTTAGCTTAATACACCAAGATGACTTCCATTTAGAGAAAATATCTTAGAATTTAAGCAATGTCAATTAATTCAAGATAAATCTGCCCAGTTCCAGAATGGTATTTCATAAACAGTCCCACTTTTGGATATGAGTATGTTAAAACATAAACATATTTTGGATGTCCACTTACTCTGCTACAGCAGGGTTAAAGCCCAAACGCCCACAGTTTAGGCATATTAATTAAACTAGTCACTTTGAAGTATGACATACCTATCTAACTGATAACAAACATGGTCATTTTTTGCTCTTTGACAACTTGGGACCCTTAAAATTGACTTCGCTATGAATAGAGAACCGACTTCCCCACCAATGTGACACAAAATTCAAATCTACTTCAATAGAAATATCATTCAATCAGAAACATCCTAATGCTACATACAATAAGAGTGAGCAGGGTCACTTCATAAGTGGATTTTCAAAAAAACCCACATTTTTTTCCCATGTAACTGGTTAAGAATTTTCCTAAAATCCACCTGTCATCCCCTCTGCCACCTTGAAGCAAGTGGGATGCTACAAGTTTGGACAGTACCTGCAGAGCCATTGCGATCTGCACAAACCACTCCACCACCTGACGTTCGGGTAGAAGCCGCCCCTTCTGCTCCTTGAGCTTTCGGTACAGATCACCTCCTTCACAGAAGCCCATGACAATGTACAGCAGACCATCCCCTCCTTCCCATGATTCCTTGTAGGTAACAATGTTGGGGTGCTTCAGCTGAGACAAGAGTTGAGCTTCTTGTTCAGCAGCTCTCCTCTCTCGGCTGGAAGCATTTCGGAGATTCAGTTTTTTGATGACATACTGCAAAGAAAATACATGTGTTGACGATGTGCAAATAAACATAGTTTTGGAGGTTCAAAAGTATTTAAGTGTTTTCCTGAGTGTCCTCAAAACCAACCTTCTAGATCCTGACAGAACCTATTCATTTTGTTATTCACAAAGCACAAAATTGGGAATAAAATTTACTATCACTAAAGATAGTTTTTACGAGCTAGAATTACAACATAGCAGGGAAGGTCACCAAAAATTACACTTTCTAGCTGCATTTTACAATCTCATTAATCTGCATTTACATCTTATCAATGGCTAAAAAATTACTTCATGTTTACATTCCACTGGATCAGTGGATAGAGATTCTGTAACCACCAAGTTCTCTCTACAAAGGTGCATGGATATGACTTGAATATACACCTGCAGATAGAGAGGGTTCACAGACTGCATTAGATACTCAAAGGGATCCAAGGCCCAAAAAGGTTAACAATTACTGATCCTCAAGCACAAAATTAATCCCACTTAAAAAAAAAGGAGTATGCTCTGGTACCTAAAACATTGTCCTCAATTAACTAAAGACCAATACAACTCATTTATTCAACAAAAACACATTGTATGTGTATAAAATTAAATAAACTACAGTCAAATATGAGGGGCTATTATTACAGCCAGTATCCTATCTTCATCTCAAAAAAATCCAGTGACACCTCCAGTGCCTACAGAATAAACCTCTTATGCCTGAGCTTTTGAACCAGGCAGAGTGACCTGCACTTGACACAAGACAGAAAAAACGAGGGATTTAAATTTAGAGGGACATCTGTTCTCAGTTTGTCTGGGGCAGTTGCATTGTCTTGGTGTAATTATTACCAATGCCTCTGTTTAGTTTCAAAATGATGCCAGTTTGTACAATACATTACATGGTCACCCTATTTATAACCCACATGAAAGAACTGGCTCATTATCCCAAGGGTGATGGGACAAAGTGCTTTAAGCAAAGAAGTGACAACATTAGGTATAAGTTTTAGAAAGCTCACTGAGACAGCAATGAAAGTGATGGATTGGAGAAGAGCAAGTCATGTGACAGGAAGGACCAGTGGGAGGCCATGGCCATAACTTACAGTTAATGCTGTCCTGGGTTGGGGTGATACCAGAAAGAACTGTTGGCTTGGCAGACAGATGAATAAGGGGGTGAGGGGGTGTGTGCGTTTGAGGTGGGGTGGAGGGGAGTGTCAGAATGACTCCCATGTGTCCAGCTTGGTATCTGGCTAGTGAGTGGTGCTATTCATTGAAATGGAAGTGGTGAGAGTAGGTTTCACTGAAATGGGGGTTGTGAAAGTAGGTCTGGCCACAAGGTGAGTCTCCAGGTCAGGATCTCTCGGCCCTTTATTCAAGGAGTAACAGCAGACGCTAACTCCCGGGAATGCATGATCTCACTGAACTGTCAAGAGCTGGTATCAAGCACACCAATTTAGAGCACAAAGGAGTACTACAGGGACTCTGAGGCGCATATTACAGGGGGCCTGGCCTAGTCTTGGTGTGGGAGGATTCCCTGAGAAAGTGCCATCGGGGTGAGTCTCCATCAGACCATGCCGGCCTAGCCTTTGGACGGCTTCTCAGAGAACCCTTGCCTGCCCTCCGCCCCCTGCCCGGCCCCAACCGCGCGGACCTGCCTGCCGTCCCGCCGGTGCCTCACGAGCGTCACCTCCCCGTAGCTGCCCCTGCCCACGGCCCGGAGGTGACAGTATGCAGCCAGGGGCATGTTCCTGGCGCGGGCCCACAGTAGGGATTCAGCGGCAGCAGCGAGCAGAGCAGCGGACGGCGGCGGGAGGCCCGGTTCATGCCCGAGAGGCTGTGGCGAGCGAGGCTGCCTAGGCGGCCGGGCCCCGGCGCGAGCGCAGAGGCCGAGCCCACGGCGACGCCGCTGCCATAGCGATCCGGGTAGTCGCAGTCCCGCGCATGCGCCGGCGGCCCGGGAGGATCCACCATAGAGCCAGGGCGCCAGCCGGCCAGAGAGGCCGTCTCCGGGAGGATCCGCCATAGAGCCTAGGCGCTAAACGGCTAGAGTGACTCTGCCGGTCCCTGTGGGGGTCACTTTCTGCCTCAGTTCCACCGTGGGGGACTTAACGGGTTGTCTTGGAAGCTTCCACTTACTGATCACGTACTTGTTTTAAGTGCTTTGCATGTACAAGTATTTATTGACTACTTACCACGTGCTAGGGCAACAAAGTCCCTGCTTTCCTGGAGCTCACATTCTAATGGGGGAGAGGGGTTGGCGAAATCTAAAGAGTCTACACGTAACATTATATTTGAATTATCACATTATGGTTAATCAATGGTTAATACATCCGGCAATCCATCTTAATTTTTATGCATTTCAAAGTAAATTTGTTACAGGGCAGGGAGAGGGACCCTGCAAACCTGCCAGCTCTAAATAGGTTCTGCCGTCCGCCCCGTCCCTGTTATAAATTGAAGCTGTCAATCCATTTCACCCCTAAACACGTCAGCTTGTGTTGCTTATGAGAACGGCAAAGAACTCTCATGAGGAGTCCATTGATTCCACGAAGTCACTTGACCAAACTAGGCAAGGCTTCTGATAGTTTAAGGCAGCGCCCCTGGCCCCCTTTAAAAGCCCTGTATGTAAAATCAGAGCTAGCCAAAAGAATTCATTTTGTTCAGTCAATTCCTCCCTTTTCTAGAGCAGTTACTAAATAAACAAATAAATAAACCTTACAAGTGTAAATCCCTTCTCTGGCCCTTTTGTTATAGGACAGGGAGGGGCAGCCCAAACCCCCGCAAGCCTGCCTATTCTACATGGGTTCTGCCATCCGCCGCATCAATACAAAACATAGGAGACTTTAATGGGAAGGAACTTTAATAAAACTAGGAAACAATACAGGGAAGGCAAAGAGTCTAGTTTCTAAATGAAGCATCCAGAGTTACCCGTCCCCTCGTGGGTAAAAGTCCATCCAAATGGGATTGGCCCAGAGCAAGGCCCCAAGGCCTGCCACAAGTCTAAAGCATCTTCCAGTGGGGACCCACAGAAAAGGGTCACAAACAACCAGACAAGCCCGGAAGGAAAAGAGCAAAATCAACATCAAGATAAAAGCTGCCATGGTCACCTCCCCATGGGTCTCACCCACATCTGTGTCTCCCAGTCCACGACCAAAAGACAAGCGCAGTTTCTTCACGTGTCTCTCGGCTACATGCGCCTCCTCCAGGTCTCCTTCTGGCTCCATCCTGCTTCCTTCCTCCGTCTCTTCTGCAGCTTCTCCTCTTCCTGCTCAGCTCCACCCTCCCTTGGGTGGGGCAGGGAAACTCCCCCTTTCCTGGGGACCACCCTGTTGCACTTTGAGATATATGTGTGTATCTCCTACAACCCAGTCTTTCTCCAGCTGAAATCCAACTCCCTCCTAAAGACAAGTGCCTTAGTTCGTTTAATCCTTGCTTCAATCCTATAAGTCTGGTACTATGCACAGTTAAGCAAACGGAGTCTCTGAAATGTAACTAAACTTAAAACAATATTATAGAGACCTTAAGGTTTCCTTACTCTTAAACTCCCCTATAATCACTTGGTCCCAGCTGCCCCAAAGACAGTTTCCTTGGCAATGACTCCAATTCCCATTTTTTTTTTTTTTAATTTTGTTTTCATCTATCCCTCTTTCCTCAGCAGCATTTGCCCTTCTGGGGAATCCTCTCCTTTCTTGGTTTATAGAAATTTCCTGGTTCTCCTGCTCCTCTGTTCCCTTTTGACTTCTTCTGCTCCCCTAGATTTTAGGTTTCCCAAGGTTCTGGCTCCACCCTCTGCAATTTGTGCCCCCCCCCACCAACTGACTCTATCAGATCTGTCATTCACTCTACAGATACTTAGTGTGGGCCATGGTGCAAGATCAGTGTCCTGCCTGAAAGCACAAAGTGAATAGGTTACAAAAATGCTACCCCAGTGGAGCTTATAGTCAAAGAGGGAAATGACCATCAATCAATTGATCATGCTAATGAGTTATCTTTGCCAATTGGGATCAACGCTATACAGAAAGTTCACAGATCCAGTGCTAGCACCCAAGGGAGATTTTGCCAAACAAGTATTTCTTGGGCTGAAGTTTGAAGGAAAACTTTTTCAGACAGAGGGAGTGCCACATGATAAGGACCAATGACTTTGATTTGTGACCCTACCTCTACATCTCGGTGTGAATTCCCTTAGTACTGGGTGGGCCTGCCTGCTTCAACATTCTAAATCCAGTATTGGCATGGCAGCAGGTATAAATGGGTGAACTGGGGCTTGACAAGTGAGTGAGTGAAAAAGCACCAGAGTACATGGAAAGTGTGGGGGGCAGGGCACAGCCTCTATTGGTGAGATGGAGGAGTCAGCAGTAGGTTCCTAGGAGCAGAGTTGAAGAGGAGGGAACAGCCATTCAGATCAACAATGAGGATGGTTAAATTCATTGGTAACTGAAAATGTGGAGAGAGAAAGGAATGAATTAGAAAGATATTCAGAGATTTGGAGAAGGGGTGGGTGGAGGAAGCAGGGCATTCAGAATGGACATATCAGATTGAAACTCCCAGCAAATCAAGCAGGCAATGATCTGTGTGGGCAGAGCTTTGGGCAGGTGTGAGCCTGTGTGTTGTCCTTTTGCAAGGCAGCACAACCACCGTCTCAGAATTCCCCAGGCACAAAGCTCAGAAACCTCAGCTGCTTCTATCCACCCATTCCCCCAGCTCCCACATCCACAGGGTACATCTTTATCTGTAACATGGGAACAACAGTATCCATCTCTTGGGGGAAGTTGCAAGCAGTGAATGAATAAGCAATAAAGGATGCAGAGAAGGAGGCCAGGTACTAGTCACTGTTAGCTTTCCCTGCACCATCCCTCCTCCACCTAGGCCTCATATATGTATTTCTAGCATCTACATTTGGACCAGGATTGCTAGCCATCTCCTAATAATCCAGTCTTGATCTAGCCACATTGCTGCTCAAAATATCTTTAGTGTTTCCCACCCAAAAGACTGGTCACCTTCAGAACCCTGAGTCAGCTGGTCCCAAACCACTACTAAGCTTCTTCCCATGTTCTCTATCTGGTCCTGTTCCCATCACACAGACACCTGGATCTTCCTCAAGCATGCTTCACATTGACCCAACTGCTTTTCTCTTCCTCTCCTTTCCAACTTCCCTTCCCAGTGCCGTTCTATTTCCCAGGCACCTGCTCTAGGGGTATTCTCCTAACTCCCTTCCGTATTTCTACAGTTCTTTCATGCTCCCCTTTAGCTTCTGCCTACTGCTGGGATTCATGGGGCTTCCTTTCACTTGTCCGGCTCCTTTTCCCAAGGCATCAGCTCTCTGAATACGAGGCACAATTTCATCACTGGTATTCCCGTGCTGGGCACTGTGCCCAGCCTACCCAGGACTCAGTCAATATTGGTACAGGAAGTCAACAGATCCTCAAATACATGGTTTCATGTTCATTCATTTCCTTTCCACAAAGTCCAGAAAACAGGCCAGAAGGTCATTCTGGCCTATGGAAAATAAACCCTTTCCCAGAAGCTGAGACAAAATTTGGGACAAGCAAACAGAGATCAAAGAGGCTTCGGGGCCCCTCACCGCATGAAGTCACAGCAGCCAGCACATCCAACCCAGGGGCCATCTCTGTCCAATGTGCTGTCACTTATGGGGAACAGGAAGGGTGTGAGCATTAAAAGCTAAAACTGCACAAGTTCAAGAAGGATCTCTGGGGTCTTTGACTCTGCTTCTCCTTCCTTCCTAACAATGCAGAGAGCATTTCTTGAAGTTCTGTTCATGCTGTGATATCAGTGTCCCAAGAATACTACAAGGATAAAATTAGACAATAAAAGGCTTAGAGCAATCTGTCAGTCATATAATCAGGCATATAATCAGTCCTCCAGTAGGAAAGTATGACTTTCATCTTTATTTTCCCTTTTCCTGCCAGGTATCCCTGCTCAGCTGGAGAAGTGAAATGGTTTACTTCTGTTCTTTCAAAACCTGGCGGAGAAGGTCCAGAGTGATGAAGCAACTATCCTAAAACATGCATCACTCATTACACAGCCCTGGGACGCATGCCCAGACCGTCCCTGGCAGAACCGGGGTTGGCCCCATCCGAAACATGGGTGTGAGCAGACACTTTCTAAGTCACAGTATCTGCCTCCCTGGCCAAAGTGGGACTGTCTGAAAAGTTTGTTGATGTTTGAAGAATTTTGAAAGTAACACCTGATGAATCTAGAAATTTATTTTTAACTGTGACTACTTGCCACATAACACCATATTACTGGTGTTGCCTTGAGGATTAGACGAGGCAAGACCCATCTAATTGTGGGGTCCTCAGAATTCAAATAGGCTGAGTGCAGTTCTGTTGGAGGCAGGGGCCGCATAGTCTGTGGCTGGCCAGGAACTTACACAGGTGGGAATCCCCCCAAGAAGAAAGCTTTCACTGCCTATTTTGGATCCCCCAAATTGTAATATTTGCCTTCACCTTGTCTAATGTTTAATCCATGTTTATCAAGCACTTTATTGATTAATGGTCTGAGTGAAGGGACAAGGCCTCAAGATCCGAGAGATCATGATCAGCACCATGGGGCTGCGGGGGCTGCTGTTCGTGTGCCTGGTATCCCTCCTCACCCTGCAGGCCATGCCAGCTTGGGGTTCACCTACAGGCAGGCCCAAAGGCAGCAAGGTATGTGGGTAAACCCTCAGGGCAGAAAGAGGTAGCTGGGTCTGACTAGAGAAGTGAGACCAAGGGGCAGAGGGCACAGGCTGCACCCCACTCCCACTCCTTAACAGATGGGCTGTGCTGCCTGAGCATTCACACTCACACTTGTCCCTGGTTTGTTTTCCAGAAGCGACAGACTGTGGACACAGTGAGTGAGAATCTCAACAAAGGGATCTGTGATGGGGGCATTATTACAACCTTGTTTCCCACCCCACCCTATCATCTGGGGGTGTGCCCTTTGTTGGTGTCCTGCTGGGACTGCCATCTTCCGGAAATGGGGACTTTCCCATTCCACCTGCTATGTCTCAGGGCAAGAAAAATGGAACAGGTCTTCCTGGGAGATCTGCTCTATTTTCAGATGTCTTGTGTCAGATGTGGGTGCTGAGTCCTAGAAACCACACTGACACTGCTCATCAGCCCAGAGGCCCCCATGCCAGGTCACAGATCCCTCATGTCTCACTTTAGTCTGTTGATGGCGTGACTATCCGGAGTTTGAAAGTCAACTGCAAAGTCACCTCTCGCTTCGCCCACTATGTCATCACCAGTCAAGTGGTCAACAACGCTGATGTAGCCAAGGAAGTGGCCTTCGATGTGGAGATTCCCAAGACGGCCTTCATTAGTGACTTTGCCATGTGTGTGTGCTGCCCAGATCCCACAACCAGAGGTTTAGCTGTTTCCCAGCCCCAGATCACAGCTCAGAATGGCCAGGCAGTGCAGATCATCGACCCATTACCCAGAGGGCCATGGGCCATTTCTAGCTCTGAGGGAAGGATGGAGCCCAGTAGGTCTGTCCTCAGCTTCCATCTTGGAGAGCTAATAGGATCCTGCAGTATTTTTTTGGCCCAAGGCCAGCAGGAGACACCCTCACCAAGTGAATGTTCACCAAGACAGGGCTTTCTCAGGGTGGGGACTAGGAATGCCTTCAATGACAAGGGCCTGAGTGGTCGAGGAGGACACTTCCCCTGAACATTTCTTCCTCCCTGAAGCACTTCAGATGGAAACGCATTCGTAGGGGACATAAAGGACAAAGTGAAAGCGTGGAAGCAGTACCGGAAAGCAGCCATCTCAGGAGAGACTGCTGGCCTTGTCAGGTGAGTTCTGGGCCCTGCTGGCCCAGTCTCTGAGGCTGCCCTCCCCGCCAGGACAGATCTGAGGGCTGCAAGATGGCTTTCTGAGGAGAGCAGGCTCAGGCTGATGGGAAGTAGGCAAACTGCCCAAACTCAAAGAAGGGACAGGTGCACTGACAAGGCTGGTATTGACTTTCCATGTCCCAGACTAACCTCCAGGAGAAATGGGGCCCTCTCCTTGGAACTTACGCTGGTCAGTCAGCTAAGACAAGGGTGAAGGTCAAGGAAACCTGGGAGCAGCACTACAGTAAGAGCTATTAATTCTGAGGGCCACACTTTAGATAACAAGGACCCCATGTCACTGACCATTTGTTGTTGCCTCTGGTGGTTTGTTCAGGGCCTCAGGGAGAACGATGGAGCAATTCACCATCCACATCACCATTGGTCCCCAGAGCAAGGCCACGTTCCAGCTGACCTACGAGGAGGTGCTGAAGCGGAAACTTATGCAGTACGACATTGTCATCAAAGTCAAGCCCAAGCAGCTGGTGCATCATTTTGAGGTAGATTGTAGGTGATGGCAGGTAAGGGTGTGGTTGCATAAACGGAGCTCCTTCTCCCTCCTTCCTTCCCTCCTTCCTCCCTCCCTCCCTTCCTCCCCACATCTCCCACACCTTGAGGCTGATCGTTGATTCAGCACCAACCATGTGACATCCCTGGCCTGAGCACACAGGGAAAGGAGCTGACTCAGGGTGGGCTCCAAGGGGCTCTTCCTAGAAAGGGATCTCCTCGAAGCTGCCCGTCTCCACTTCCTCTCTCTCTCTGAGCCTATGATTGCTCACCTGTCAAATGGGATTCCTGTGAGCCCCAGGACTGCCACAAGGATCCCTAGAGATATTGAATGTCCAGGTGGTTTGTAAACCAGAGAGGCTTGGGCAGCTGAGGGGCTGTGATTGTTACAGCTGGTACCTCAGTGGTAGCTGAACTGAGAGACGCATGCCTTCATTCACCCAATTCACGCATGCCTTCATTCACCCAATATTTTTGGAGTGTTGTCTTGTGCCAGGCCCAGTGCTGAGGACTGGTGGGTGCTACACATGGTAGGTGACCAGTGCACACGCTGACTCTTGGCTGAGACTTGATGATGGCCTGAATGGAAACTGTGGAATTGCTTCAATTATGCAGATTGACGTGGACATCTTTGAGCCTCAGGGGATCAGCAAGTTGGATGCCAAAGCCTCCTTTCTCCCCAAGGAATTGGCCAGCCAGCTTATCAAAAAGTCCTTCTCAGGGAAAAAGGTGTGTGGGCTGGTTGGAAGGGTGGCAGGACCTCTGGGAACTCTTGCTTGGCCCAGACCCTGATGGAATGTCCAGTCTTGGCCTTGGCAGCACACAGGAGCAGTAGGCTACTGTAGGGGTGACAGAGGCAGTATTCTGTGTTTTGTAGTCCAAGGGAACTCACACTCCTGATTCTTAAAGCAACTTAGCACAAGTCTGCATGCTGAGGCTAGGGCAGGTGTCTGCTGGGCTCTACCACACAGGGGCTGCATGGTCTGGGGTGTTTTTGTTTTGCCTGAGCTGCAGTTTCATCTTTGCCTAGCTCACACCCCTGGGAAAGCTCTCAGGGAGATATTGGACACCTGAGCAAACCTCAGATACTGTAGTTGTTCTGAATTCCCATGTCCTTAGAAGCATAAGTAAATTTGCAAAAGCCTCTGGCCTACCCAACCTGTTGCCCACCAATTTGCAGAAATCTCAAAAACCCCTTGCTTGACCCCCTCCTTAGGTCCTGGAGGAATGTGGCACCTGGGTGGATGGTGCCCCGCTAGTGTCCTGCTTCTTAAGTTGCTCTCACCAGAACCAGGAGCAGGCCTTTTAGTTCCTGCCTACTGTTGGCAGTGATGCCGTAACAAGTCACTTAAAAGAAATGTTTCTTACATCTTTGGAGGGGGTTCCAGCAAATAGGATAGCCCAGAGTGTTAGCAAACATGTCAGTTTTAAGTAGGGAATCCAGAGAATAGGTTTTGATTTTCTTAACAATTCTTTGCAATTTTTTTATTTTGATCAGCACGCTTTTATTTCTGTAAAAATAAAGTCTTTAAAGAAAATGTGGACAGCACAGAAGATAGAAGAGCATTGAGTAAAAACCATGCTTAATTTCCCTGGACCCTGACACCAAGTCAGAGCAGACCTCAGCTCCCACTCTGGGCCTTTCCTTCCAGCCTCTACTGCTTGGCCGCTCTGGGTGCCTCCTGTTTTCCAGACTAGTATTGTAGCTTTGTTTTATTACTTGGCAGAGTTGAATTGACATCTCTCGTGCAGCCATTATGTGGTCACCAAAATGGTGGTGTTTATTGTAGAAAATCCCAATGATTTGGAAGTGTATAAGTACAAACAAAAAAGCCCAGATCTTCTCTCCTACAACCTACAAACCTGCAAGGGTGTACTCTCAGTAGCTGGGTGGTGAGGGACTATTGGCTTCATTTCTACCTCCATGCACCCCTCCCTCCCCCTCACACACCCTTTGTTGTCTTTGCAAACATTTCATTTGTGACTGCACACACCAGTGTTACCTCACATCCTCTATGGTTCCAGGGTCATGTATCTTTCCGCCCCACCATGAGCCAGCAGCAATCCTGTCCCACCTGCTCTACATCCTTGCTGAATGGGGACTTCAGGGTGACCTATGATGTCAATCGAGACAAGCTCTGTGACCTCCTGGTGAGCCTGAAGCTTCTGACCAAGACTCAGAGGGCAGCCAGGGATGCTTGCAGAGAGACTTCACTCATTCTTTTGCTTCAGGTCGCCAATAACTACTTTGCCCACTTCTTTGCCCCTCAAAACCTGACAAACTTGAGTAAGAACCTGGTTTTTGTGATCGATATCAGCACCTCCATGGAAGGCCAGAAACTGAAGCAGGTAAAGTACGGCTTTAAGCTGTTCACCCAGCAGAAGCTTCTTCGGTTCCATTACGCAGTTCTCACTGGCCACCAAGGTGTGGGTTCAGGATTTCTGCTTCTGGTCAGAGGCAGGGTGATTTAACAAGAAATCCTAGCATTTAGATATTCTGGAATCAGCCATTTCCTCAATGTGCCCCCATGAGCAAGGATATCAGCTTCTGAGTGGCAAAAATGGGGATGATAGCAGTGTCCATTGCCTGTGGGGTGATGGATGAGGGAGCGCATAGAAGACGAAACATGCACACTAAAAGTGCCAGGATAATGAAGGGGCGCATGGGGACGTGTCTTGCAGCAATCATAGCCCACTGCCCGTAGTGCCACAGCCCCCTAGAGGCCTCTTTCTTAATCCCACCCCACATAAGCTTCTGCTCATTTCTTCTTTCCAAGTCAGGCCCCTTTGCCTTCTCTGTCCCCATCATTCACCCCAAGAGGCCAACAGGATGCTTGTCCACTGGTACCACCTGGTTGTCCTTTGCAGCCCTTCCTGCTTGTCCACTATGTGCCTCTGCCCTGTGGCTGGCTGAAATGGGTGTCTGGCTGATGGAAAGCGCTGTTCTGGAGCCACATCCTTCTTCCAACTGTCCTGTCCTTGCAGACTAAGGAGGCGCTCCTTAAAATCCTGGGGGACATGCGGCCAGATGACTACTTTAACCTGGTCCTCTTTGGGTCTGAAGTGCAAGCTTGGAGGGACTCAATGGTGCCAGCGACCACAGCTAATCTGCAAGCGGCTCAGCATTTTGTGCGTCACTTCTCCCTGGCAGGGGGTAAGGGCAGGGGTCTCCAGTGTTACCTCTGGTGTTACATCTGGCATACCTCTGTCCCTTGGAATGAGGGCATATGCTAGTCTACATTCTCTTCTTTGCAGCCACAAATCTGAATGGAGGTTTGCTCCGGGGAATTGAGATCTTGAACAAAGCTCAGGAAAGCCTCCCAGAACTCAAAAACCATGCCCCAATTCTCATCATGTTGACAGATGGCGAGCCAACAGAAGGTAAGCTCTTCAAAGGCTACGGTGGGTTGTCACGATCTCTTAGTTACTAAAAACATGTAAACTGAACTTGGAAGCACAACTCCTGGGGATACTTTTTTTTTTTTTTAAAGATTTATTTTTTATTTATTTATACAAGCACTGGGTACAGTCAGAAGCGCGGGAGGGTGAGAGAATTCACCAGAGCCAGAGCAGAGCAGGCAGAAGGACCAGGAGCAGCAGGCAGCTGCGCGCCATGTGGGACCCTCCTCTGGTGGCAGGGGAGCAGCCAGGAATCGAACCGGCGCTGCAGAGGCTGCGGGCAGCTTCGCAACCCAGCGCTCAACTGCTGTGCCACTGGGGAGGCCTGTCCTGGGGATACTTTTGGGGGACAGAAAGACCCAGGGCAAAATCAAGAACTGGTTTAAAGTGTTCCGACCATTAAGTCTGCAGGCAAAGAGCTGCATGAGGCACAGGCAGATGGGCAAGATTCTTAGGTTGAATTTAAGGAACCATGTGTTCAGAACCTACTGTGTGCCAAAGATAGGACTAGGAATTGAGAAGAGATAGCAAGAGTATAAGACATGTCTCTGCCCTCCAGGAACCCAGATCCATTAGGGGCAGCAGACCCAAGAGCCAGAATTCTGTCAACGGTCCTGACAGAACAGGGTACCAGAGGTTGAAGGTACCAGATGGGGGCACCTGGCCCAGGCAGTGTCCCAGAAGGCCTCCTGGAGTGGGTAATCCCCACTTCAGTCTGGAAGGAAGAGAGGAGAAGCAGGAATGAATTCTGTTTGAAGGCAACTTGAACAAGAAAAAGTGTGTGCTCTGGTAGGGCCTGCCCAGGAACAGCAAGCACATGCAGAATAGGTGAAACAAGGGTAGAGAAGTCCGCAGGGCCTTGTAGGTGATGGCAAGGAGTCATGGGAGAATTTAGAGCAGAATCAGTTCTGCTTGTGATAGATCATGTGGATGGGCAAGGTCCTCCAGGAGGTGTTGCAGTTGCCCAAATGAGCAAGCAAGAGGCATTGCCTCCAGAAGCCCGTGGGCACTGGAGATGGTCTGAGATGAGAGACTTGGGCCCCAGGGTGTGTGCCCCAAAGGCCCCTTGTGCCCCATGTGTCCATGAGCCTGTATCCCGTCATTCTTTGGGTGTGTGGCTGCAGGGGTGACGGACCGTTCCCAAATCCTCAAGAACACCCGCAACGCCATAAAGGGCAAATTCCCGCTCTACAACTTGGGCTTTGGCCAAAACGTGGACTTTAACTTCCTGGATGTCATGTCCATGGAGAACAATGGACGGGCCAAGAGAATCTACGAGGACCACGATGCCACCCAACAGCTGCAGGTCTCCCCCCACCTCCCTCCCCCATGCCCTGACACTGGTAAACCTTGGGGAGCCCAGCCTTGACAGCCAGTTACCCATCAGCCTAAAAGAGGTACAGCTTTGGCATGGCATTCAAATGAGCTGCATGACCTTGAGCTAATTACTTAATTCCTCTAAGCCTATGATTCCTTCCGTAAAATGGGAGTCCCAACACCCCATTTTGGGAGTGGGCTACCGGCTGGGTGCCCGAGTGACCTACCAACTCTGAGATTGCACCCCCCCATCTGCCCCTGCAGGGTTTCTACAATCAGGTAGCCAATCCCCTGCTGATGGATGTGGAGTTGCTCTACCCACCGGATACTCTCTCGGCCCTGACCCAGCACCGTCATAAACAGTACTATGAAGGCTCAGAGATCATGGTGGCAGGGCGCATCGCTAAGGACAAACTTAGCAGCTTCAAGGCTGACGTGCTGGCCCGTGGGGTAAATAGTGGACTGCAGAGGGTGGAGAGGCCAGCAGCACTCAGAGGTTCTAAATCCTCACTGTCCCCCACCCTAATCCATCCCTGGGAGCCTCATTTCCCCCAAAGTACCATGTACCATGCTATGCATACACCCCAATCCTGAACATTCCTCTATTCAGGCATCCCAGGGGACTGAACAGGCTGGATTGGGACCAACATGACCTTGATTAGTTGTAGTCTCTTGACCCAAAATGGACTATCATTCCCCCCAAGGTATAAGAAAATGAGAGGCTACCCCTGCCCCTTGACAACCATTTCCTGAACACCTACCATGCACCCAGCTCTGTGCCCTGGCACCGTGCACATCTGTGTGTGTGCATTGGAGGCAGGAGAATAATGAGCATGAGGCCTGGACCTGCCCTGTAGAGTGTAGACTCAAGACCCACAGTGTGGTTGAGGGTTTAGAACTTGGGTTTTGAGTGAAGAGAATTGAGCTGGACCCTTATTCCACCCTGACCAAGTAGGTGACTCTGAGCCAAATGGGTCTAGCCACTGGGTAATACTTTGGAGAGTTGTGTAGAGTAAATGAAATAATCCATGTAATCCACTTACACAATGCCTAGTGCATGGGTTACCCCCATTATTGTAGCCAGGGAGAGAAGACACCTTTGTTTTGCTGTGCCATGTTGAATGGGGCAGCCCACCAGAGATTTGGAGTGTGGAGGAGCGGGGCCTGATGGGGACAGCTGCACAGTGGAAGCAGTGAGGTGCTTGTTGGCATCCCGCAGAGGGAGTCCTTTCAGCAGGGCAGGACCTGGTCCTCCCTCCCTGCGGTCCCTAGGACCTAGGGGTGCTCAGCCAGCTTCTGTGGAATGAATGGATGAATAAGATGAGAAGAGTTCAGGAAAGGTGGGAGGATGCAGGGAACGAAGCTGCAGAGAGCAGACAAGAGTGGGGTTCCTCAGAGGTATACCCATTATGGCACAGAGTATGTCTCTTCATCTGAACCCTCAGGATGGCCAAGAATTCAAGACCACCTGCCTGGTGGATGAGGATGAGATGAAGAAACTGCTCCGAGAGCGGGGCCACATGTTTGAAAACCACATTGAGCGCCTCTGGGCCTACCTTACCATCCAGGAGATGCTGGCCAAACGGTATGACCCCTGCAGCTGCCCAGGTGGGCACTGTCCATCCTATGGCACCCCCCACCTTTGGACCCTTGGACTGGCAAGGTGAACAAAGAAGGGGCGGTTCTGGGCCTTGGAGGTTGAGAGCAGGTCAGATTTATTATTCTCCTTTGTTTAGTTAATATCGACCAGTCAGTCAATATTGAGGGATAGGCCCTCCCGGACACAGGGTAGCCCACTACTTGTCTGTCCCCAACTTGCTGCGGTGGGGGAGGCTGCCCTTTACTGTGAACTGCTGTGTCCAGACCACATTCACCGAAGCCTGACATCAAGCAGAATTTCCTCATTATTCTTCCCACTTAACAGACAAGCAAACTGAGGCTTAGAGAGTTTAGACCTCTGAGAGGTCTAAACTCGCCCAGAATTTCATGTCTATTAAGTTCTGTGTTTCTGAAGCACATCCTCCAACCCTGCAAAATATCCAGCTTTTCTCTGCGAGAAGCCCTTAAATTATGAAGTCCTTGAGGTCAGCCACCGAACGGGGTACTGCAGGTGCTTCATACATGTGTGTGAAATGAGTGAACTAGTGAGCGAATGAGTGAAAGTTCATTATCATCCAAGCTTTGGGACTTGGAGCTGGTGTCTGCTCGCAGAATGAAGTTGGAGGGGGAGGAGAGAGCCAATCTGTCTGCAGAGGCCCTGAAAATGTCTCTGGACTACCAGTTTGTGACCCCGCTGACCTCCATGACCATCAGGGGCATAGAAGACCAGGATGGCCTAGAGCCCATCATTGACAAACCCCCTGAAGGTAAGGGCTCCGGGCTGGGGGAGGCTTTGGACCCAGGAGTGGGGGGGGTGGGAGGGGTGCTGAGAGCCAAACTCTTCCCTTTCTCTCCCTTCCAGATTCTTGGCCCTTGGGTAAGCTTTCGAATCATGTTGTGTTTTGAGAGGAACTTCTGATGGTTGGGCAAGTGGCAGCTGCCTGCTCCCCACATGTCCCCTGCCTCAGTCCTTCCTCCCTTCTTTCTCTGAGATGCCCTTGCACACTTCACCACAAGCCAGTTGCTTCTGTGCACTTCAGAAGCCCTTGCATGGCCCGAAACCCCCAGCAGCTTCCATCAGGCTGTAACCAGGACCCCTGGGGGAGGGCTCGAGCCCCCGGGAGGGGCAGTCCTGGTCTAACTGACCTCTGGGCTGGGGTGTACTTGGGGAATGAGACTCAGGCCTTTCGTGTGGGTGGTAAAGGTCACACTGTGCTCTGTCTTTGTTCCCTACAGAGATGCAGGGACCCAGGAGGAGTAAGTGGCAGCTATACTGACGCGCTTAAACATTGGTACTCCACAGTCACTGTCCTTCGGGCTGTGCGTTCAGCCCGGGGTCAAGCCCCTAGGTTATCAACCCATTTGCCTGATGAGAAAACAACAGCCTATGACCGGCTTCCTCTGCTCCACTGTCCTGGTAGCCTCTCACTAGGAATCCTCAGAACCGTCCCCACCACCTCGACCAACGGGGCCTGTCCTCCCCCATGCTTATGCTGTCAGTCCCACCAGGTCCCCTTCGAAGAAGACAGAGAGGGACAGCCTGCTGGGCTGAACACAACTTCTGCTCCTACATCCTGAGGGGCATCAGGGATCTGCATTCCCTCCTGCTCCTGGGGCCTCAAGCCAGCCCGCCCGGGTGGGAGGGGCTTCAGGAAAGGAACCAGCAGCTCCAGGAAGGTCACCCACCCTTCTAAATGTCACTCGTTCTCACCTGTCAGCGTTCTTGCTGTCGGCCTCGCAGCCTTCTCCGTCGGTCTCCAGCCCTCGTGTCCAACGGTTGCCAAAACAAGTGACCAGTGGTGAGTCCTCAGGAGGGTCTTAGGGACATCCCTGCTTGGTTGAACACTTGTCCCTAGTCGGTCCCATCTTCCTGATGCTCATTCTAACCGACTCCATGCTATGCCCCCAGTGGACACTGACCCTCACTTCATCATCCATGTGCCTGAGAAAGAGGATCCCCTGTGCTTCAATATCAATGAGGAGAATGGAGTGGTCCTAAACCTAGTGCAGGACCTTAACACAGGTACAGTGACATCATGCCCTCTGTCAGAGAGCTTCCCCGCTCTCGATGTTCAGCCACACACAGGACAGTTGCCATGGCCTCTGCTTCCCACACCCCGTGCATCTGTCACCTGCCTGGGCTCCACCTGCTTCCTCTCACCCCCTCCACCTGGCTAGGCTTATACAGGATGGGCTTCCTGGGCACAGAACCCTGTGCTTAGGAGGGCCCCATCCTTGGTTTAATGGCTCTGCTATTTCCACCTTGAAATTCATAACAATTTTTGAACAAGATGCCTCTTGTTTTCATTTGGTACTGAATCTTGCAAATTATGTTATCAGCCCTGCCCTCCCCTTGCCATGAGCGGGGGCTCCAACACTCCCCCAAGCCCCACTGGCCCAGCAGTGCTCAGTGATGCCGATCACTCTCCATCTCTCAGCCCCCTTCCCCCCCTCCCAGGCTAGTCAGGCCTTCTGCAAATGTTTGTTGAGCACCCACTAGGGCGCCCGGTACCTAGTGAAACTCGAGACAAAGTCCCTGCTCTCATGAGAAGAAAGAACAACAGGTGAACTTCATCAGTGGAGGTGTCGAGCCTGAGACATACTGTGTTGATAGTAAAGATGGGGAGAGAGATTTTTGGCTGCTCAGGTCAGAGAGGGCCTCTGTGAAGAGGCCCCACAAAAGTGTCTGCTGCACATCCTGGCACCCACCTGGGATAGGGGCCATTGAGAAGGGGCAGGCGCAAGTCCTGCGAGGCCTCCTTCAGGGCCAGAGCCAAGCGCTGAGCACTGGTACGCCGTGTGGCGGGAGGGGAGGGAGAGCAGTGGTGTTGTGCACAGCCTGGACCAGTCCCGAAGGCTCCCCTGGAGAGGTGAGACCCTCAAAAATGGCATGGGTGGGGTGTGGTGGTTCCCAGGGAAAAAGTACAGCATGAATAAGGGCAGGCTGGGGCGGGGAAGGGGGCATCTAGCTGGTGGGACACCCCCCCCCCCACAACACACACGTACACACACACACATTTGTTGGCCTTTCCCCACACTGCAGGCTTCTCAGTGAACGGGCAGCTCATTGGCAACACAGCCAGGAGCCCTGGACAGCATGAGGGCATGTACTTGGGGCGTCTGGGGATTGCAAACCCAGCAACAGGTTTTCAGTTGGAAGTGACCCCTCAGAATATTACGCTGAACCCTGGCTCTGGAGGGCCCGTTTTCTCTTGGAGGGACCAGGCTTCGCTGCGACAAGACGGGTAACTGGGCTGTGAGGGGTTAGGGAGGGGAGGCAGTAGTGGGTGCAGGGAGGACCAAGGCACCAAGCTCCAGAGATAGCTCTGCTGCCTGAGTCTGCCAGAGCCTTGTTCCCCAGCGATACCTGTGGGCAACACCCACATGGGCTGTAGGTTGTGCAGACGTGTCTGACTTTGTGAACCACCCCACCCCCATTCCCTTTATTCCTGTGCGCGTGCTCTGGGCACTGCTGCCTGGATGCTGTGCTTCCATGACTCCCATCCTGCAGTGTACCCTCATCCTGATGTCCACCCTCACCTCCATCAAACAAAGCTGGTTCATCCTCCTGGGTCTAGCACAAAGCCACTTCTTTTCTGAAGCCTTCCTAGCTTCTTCCATTGCTGCACTCTAAGCAATTGTTTTTTTAGCAATTGTCTCAGTATGTCTTGCTTCATATTTCTTCCTTCCTTCATTAGCTCATTCACTCATTCATTCATCCAACAAACTCCATCAAACCCCAGAGCCTGACGCTAAGCAGCAGAGTTGTAGGAAGAGGTGGGCAGAGTGCAGTATGGAAGACAGGTGATGAGTGAGGGTCAAAAAACCCAGACCCTGATGTTAGACAGGCTGGAGTCCTGCTGCTTACCAGACTCAGATGTGGGACATTGGGCAGCCCACTTAGCCTCACTGAGCCTCAGCCCTTGCAGGGCCAGAGAGAGAGGGCAGCATGATGCAGTTTGCATGCTGGCTGACACAGCCCATTGACACAATAGCAACATGTGAGGGAGCGTGTGGAGCAAGTAACACCCAACCATCTCGGGGTGAGGGTTTGGAGGGGTATAAGAAGTGAGTCCTGGGCCTCCCTGGTGGCACAAGGGGTTAAGCACCGCACTATGAAGCAATCTGCAGCCTCTGCAGCGAGTTCAATCCCTGAATGGCCAGGGAGAAACCCACATGGTGAGGCAAACCTCTCCTGTCTCACCCACTGCTCCCCTCAGAAGTCTTTTTCAGTCAGTGTTTTTCACTCTGTCTCTGGTGAATCTTCTCACCCTCCTGCATCTCTGGCCTGTGTCCCAGCTCTTGTATGCATAAATAAACAAATATTTGAAAAAAAAATGAGTCCAGAGGACGAGGGCTGCTGAAATGTGCGGTGCAGCCATACTAGCCTTCACGGTCTCCTGGCCTGCAGGATAGTGGTGACCATCAACAGGAAGAGGAACCTGGTGGTGTCAGTGGAGGACAAGGGGACCTTCGAGGTTGTTCTGCACCGGGTGTGGACAACCTCTCATCAGGACTTCCTGGGCTTCTACGTGCTGGATAGTCAGGGGATGTCAGCGCGGACACATGGGCTGCTGGGTATGGCTGGCTCTGTGGGGTGGGTTGTCGAAGCCAGTGCACTCTCTAGGATAGCTCCCCTCCAACAGGACTTCCAAGGCTCAGAGGTCCAAAGAGAGGTTGTCCTGGTGAGGGTCTTGCTCCTCTAAAAGGCTGCAATCAAACACAGTGAAACAATCTCAAGTTGGGAATGAATGGCGAGAGCAAACAGGAAGCCCCAGCCAGCTCCCAGGCCCTTCTGGGTGGGATGGGTCATCAGCCACACGCCTCTCTTTGTGGCCTTCCTGTGGGCCCGGCTCTCTGTGGGCATCTATCCCGCTACCCTCTCTCCCCAGCCAGATTCCTTTGCATTGGTCAAAAAATGGTGGTTTTGGATGCCAAAGCTAATCAGAAACAATGAAGCCCTTGACAAAATCTTTCCAGCCCCTCTCAACCTCCAGAGAGTACCTGTTGAGTGCCAGGTAAGTACAAGGCCCCAGATGGTAACTTCTTCCAATGTTCCTTTCCAGGACAATTCTTCCACCCCTTTGATTATCAAGTGTCTGACCTTCATCCAGGCTCTGACCCCACAAAGATAGATGCCACACTGGTGGTGAAGAGCCGCAGGCTGACAGTCACCAGGTAGGTGGGCTGATCTTGTAGAATTCTACCTTTGGCATTTCCCAACGTTGGTCCAGACCTTCTTCCAGGTGTCACATGGGTGAGTGGGCTTCCTGAGGAAGTGCAGCTCTGTTGGGTCCAAATAATAACCCTAAGTGACTTGTCTCTCCCCAGGGGCTTGCAAAAAGACTACAGGAAGGACCCCCGGCACGGGACTGAGGTGACCTGCTGGTTTGTCCACAACAATGGGGCTGGACTGATTGACGGCGTTCACACTGACTATATTGTCCCTGACATCTTCTGAGCTTCCTAACTGGCAAGACTACTCTCCTTTGGGACCATGGCAGGGGAGGACAGCATCCTGATCTGCTGCCCAGGCCACACCTCACTGTCCAAGCTGGTTCCTATGTGAAGCACCCATGACTTGCATTAAAAAGAGGTTGGTCCAGGGCCTCCCCAGTGGCGCAGTGGCTGAGCGCTGGGTTGCGAAGCTGCCCATAGCCTCTGCAGCGCTGGGGCTCTAGTTCGATCCCCAGTTGCTCCTTTTCCACCAGAGGAGGGTCCCACATGGCGCGCAGACCTCTCCTGCTGCCCGCTGCTCCCCTCAGCAGTGTACTTCGGTCCTTCTGCCTGCTCTGCTCCCCACTCTGGCTCTGGTGAATTCTCTCACCCTCCCACGCTTCTGACTGTACCCAGTGCTTGTATAAATAAATAAATAAATCTTTAAAAAAAAAAAAAAAAAGAAGAGGTTGATCCAGGCCAGAGCTTGCTGCTCTTGGAGAGGGAGGGGGCAGGGAGGTAACCTTAGATGCTGCCCCTCAGAAGGGTCCAGGCAACCCAGCAGATCCAAGGATGAGAGAAGCAGGTTGGAGATAGGAAGGTAGCCCACACAGACTCTGACCAACCCCCACTTGTTCTCTGCAGTTGCCTGACCTCATGCCCTTTGAATTCCCTGAGTGTCCTCTGCACACAGCCCCCTCCACAGGTCCAAGAGCTGAAGAACATTCTGGCAGCATGGGCAGGGATAACCATCAGCCGCCACAGCTGACTTGGTGCTTGCCGGAAGCAGACACCATTTTAAGTGATTTCTTTGAATTAATTAAATGAATATTCCCAGTAGCCCTAGGGAATACTTTCATTATGCCACAGCTGAGGTAACTGAGGTTAAGTCATTTGTCCAAAATAACTCATTTTACAAATGGCAGGGCTGGGATTTGAACCTACACTGTTCGGTGTCGCATCAGTGTGCTTAACCATCCTCATGTAAATATTCCTGTCAGACTAGCAACTGATACCCAACCTCTGTTGGGATTTGGTCCTAGAGTTTCTAAGGTACCACTTCAAATTAACATATAAAAGAAATCTGTGAAATATATATGGTTTGGGGTCCTGAAGACGCCCTATCAGACCAATGCACTATCTGGAGTATCCCGAGCTTCCCAAGGGAGGAGCACAGTCTGCCAGCTGGTTGGATCACCCTAAGTAAGGCCCTACGCAACCAGGGCCTCATTTTCCCCTGCTAGAGAGCAGAAATAGGGTAAACCTGAAGATCTCTTAGATTTCATCTAATTCCAAACTGTCCTGCATACTTTTAAAAGCTTGATCCTGCATGCTTTTAAAAGCTGACTCAAAAACTGTACAGGTTTCATCCCTCATACTCTTAGTAGTTAAATCAAGAGCCTGAATTTGTTGTTGCATAGCTAAGTTAAGAGCCTGAATATGTTGTTGCACATTCTCAGTATGTGAAGTAGAACATCTACCTCTCATAGAACCAAGAATGTAGCAAATGGCACTTACACACATTACCAAAAAAAAAAAAAAAAAAAAACACCCAGAAGCACAGATTATGAAAGGATGGCTTGTAAATCACCCATGTATGTATACAGGAGTAAAATCATGTGCCATATACCAGGTTTTATCAAATTATTTACATTTATAAAACTGGTGGTAATATTTAACGGAAAAAGGCTGCTCAAACTCAAGGCTGGAAAAAACTGAAAGAACTCAAGCTAGGGATAAAACTGTGTAAGCTCATGGTTGAGACCATGTTTGGGTCAAAAACACACCCACAAGAGAGAGCTGTACGGAAGGGAAAAAAGCAGACTTTTCAAGACTTGTGACAAAGATTACACTGCGAGTCCTGCAGACCTAGTGCGCTTATGGTGACCAACGCAAGGAAAGTTGCTTTGGGCTGGTCAACCACGGGTGTAACTTGGAAACCACATTGTGCACCAAACTGTTACAGGGCAACCCCAATATAAAACGGTTGTCTGACTGTGGGTCCTCACCCGCACGCTTAAAAGAGACTTATTAATACTCAACTGCAGGCACACACAAAAGGTTAATAAAAGGTTTATTAACAAGGGAAGGGGAAGTGAGGAAATGTACAACTCAGGGAGAAAAGAGGGAAATAAAGTCTTAAATGCGTCCTACCTGTTCCGCTGACCTGGAATCCCAATGGCACACTGACAGCTGCTGGAAAGGCAGGAGCCGTGAAGCCAAGAGAGAGAGACCCAAGGCCCACGTGTCTGATTTTATACCAAACCTGGCAGCTTTACTCTACCCTCAGGTCCCAGCAAACCTCCCTTTGGTGATGATGGGATTTGTCATTTCTAGTGTCTTGATGGCTTTGGTCTGGAGTGGGGGTGGAGTCCACAAAGCCTGTATGGAATTAGCTCAGGACATCCTTTGCCCCTAACAATTCCCCCCTTTCACTTTTTGCCACCATTTCCATGGTGATGAAGATCAAATATATGGATGCAGGGATACAGTCTCAGATGAAAATTTTTCAAGTTCCAGTGTGAAAGAAAACCAGTCTTTCCAGGTATTGTCCATTGTGGAAAGCAAAAGTCCTCCATTCCTGGAAAAACAGTTCATCAGTCCAAGCCAAAAAAAACAAAAACAAAAAAAAAAAAAAAAAAACAAAAACAAAACAAAAAAAACATCTGGAGGCATTAGCCAAAACAAGACAGCAAATATGTCAAAATCACAGGAAAAAAATCTTAAAATTGGTTCAACTGATGTAAAAACAAATTCTCTCAACCTTGAGCCCAAATTGTTTCAATGGCATAGCAAAAGTTTGCAAACGAAGTCTACTTTTAAACCATATTACCAATTTTTGCATAAAATCACAAGGCAGAATAACTAAACAGCAATTTTAGCTGGCTTTGTTGGAATACTCTATATAGGATCAGAGTGAACTCTTGACATCTGGTCCATGTAGGCTTCAAGAACAAAGTTGGTCTCAGACTCCACCTGGGCTTTCCTCTTCTCGAGGGTACCAGGACTTTCTCTCTGGTCCTGTCCTGCCAATGGAGGCAAGCTTCCTCACCTTATTTGGAGGTCTCTGCAACACTACGAACAAAGCAACAGGTTCTCCTCTTTTTGGTTCAGCTCTCTTTCAACTTCCTGGAAGAACTCCACTCAAAGGCACACAATGAAACTCATGTTCAATTTCTTTTAGTTTAAGCAGGCAAAATCCCTATGGAAGTTATGCAAAAACAGACTCTGAGATAAGTAGTAAAAGATTACTACCACCATTTTTATGCTGTGTTGGTATCAAGGGGAGAGAAAATGCAAACACAAGTTAGCTTTGCTGGGAAAAAAAAACAAAAACGCAACCTTGCTGCAGATCCTGGTCACTCAAAACAAGATAACTTTGTGGAGTCAGAACAAAATGCAAAAAAATAAAATTACCAGTATTATGTCAAAGAAAACTTAGTCCATCATGTGTATTTCTAGGTCTATTCTGTCCTTTGTAGGAAATCTTTACTCTCAACTGTTCCATCAGTAGGAATCTGTTGAGGTCTTTTCTCCCTATTTTTTCCAGAAAATTTCTGTAGGTATCAAGCAATTGAAGTATACAATATTACAAGGCGACAATCACCATTGACAATTTACATACATATCAGGCACTGAGAGGTTTTATACATGTTTTAGAAAACCAGTGTTAACATTTCGGTACATGTCAAAATTTTACAATTTTCCCAAGTGACAATGCTTGCCTTCTACTTTTACTTTACTAGGTAAGCCAAATAGGACAAATTCATCTAAATGCCTTTCCCAGGAGGAAAGGGAGAAATTTTGTGGAGCGTCTCAGGAGCTCCGCTGAGGTTCCACAAGATTTCCTTTGATCAACCAAATGACAGGCTACCAAATTTTTACTTGAATTTAGATTTCTGGGAAGCTTTGCCATAAATATCAGAAAACAGCAGAAACAACAATATTTAATCTCTATGAAGGCACCGGCTTAGTTCAGTAGTACAGTGTTGACAATCAAACCATGACCTTTAGTTTTTCCTCATAATTGGAGACTCTTTTTTTTTTTTATAGAGACATGTTTTATTTATTTATTTGTTTGTTTGTTTGTTTGTTTTGTTTATACATGCACTGGGTACAGTCAGAAGTGCGGGAGGGTGAGAGAATTCACCAGAGCCAGAGCGGGGAGCAGAGCAGGCAGAAGGACCGAAGTACACTGCTGAGGGGAGCAGCGGGCGGCAGGAGAGGTCTGCGCGCCATGTGGGACCCTCCTCTGGTGGCCGGAGAGCAGCCGGGGATTGAACCGGTGCCGCAGAGGCCGCGGGCAGCTTCACAACCCAGCGCTCAACCGCTGCGCCACCGGGGAGGCCCTGGAGACTCTTTTTTTTTTTTTTTCCATGTGTATGGGCACTTTGTATACCATTTTGTCAACCACCAGAGGCCAAGACAAGGACACAAGGAAAGGACATACAGACATACAACATATAGACACAAAGAGCCCTTTAGTTACCATTTATCACACATGGGATATCTCATACAACTGCAGTTTCACTCATAGGCCAAAGTAACAAAAACAAGCAGAAAAAAAACCTTGAAGTTAAAAAAAAACCAAAAAGTTAAAAGGAAATACCAAAATCAAGATTGAAATCCATTCTGTGTAAAAAAACAAATACTGGCAGCATATGCGTGATTCTAGACGTTATTTCATGTCTCCTAAACTTTGAAAGGAAGAAGATTGGTTAGAGCATGTTAGTTTTCTCAGGGTTTCTTCAGAAAAGTGAGTCCTTGGGTATCCTGTAACAATAACTGGAAAAGAAGTCAGTAATATTCAAGCTTGTGTCTTTTTCTTAACTAAATATCTCAATTCCTCAGTGGGTTCACAAGACCAGTGGGACTTTGTCTCTGGGTCAGCTCCTTCTGGGCTTATTTAGATCTAGTGGAGCCCCTGGGCCCCTTATCGTTCATGTGAACCTTCTCTGTGTACTATCATTTGTCTCCTTCCCTCTGTACCGGGCTCTTGATTCCTTCTCCTCTGCCTGTATTCCC